GCATAGGATATCAAGAATCCTCTCTGAGCAGAGAAGGAAGTCAAGTTTCTTTGGAGTCCTGAGTACCCCTCTCCTTGCTCCACAGCCCAGCCTATGACCAGTACTGCCACGATCACTTTCACAATGGGCACTGTGAGAAAGGCTGCAACACTGCCGAGTGTGGCTGGGATGGGGGCGACTGCAGGCCTGAAGCTGGGGACTCACAGTGGGGGCCCTCCCTGGCCCTGCTGGTGGTGCTGAGCCCGCAGGCCCTGGACCAGCAGTTGCTTGCCCTGGCCCGAGTGCTGTCCCTGATCCTGAGGGTGGGGCTCTGGGTGAGGAAGGATGGTGATGGCACGGACATGGTGTATCCCTATCCTGGGCCCCAGGCCAAAGAGGAGCTGGGAGGAACCTGGGACCCCTCTCAGCAGGAAACAGCAGCCCCTCCTACATCACCCCTGGGCAAGGAAACAGATTCTCTCAGCACTGGGTAAGACTGGGCAGAGGGGAGGGCCAGATACTAGTTTAATGGGAGAGGGCAGGGAACCAAGGACCAACACAGGGATCTCTGAGGTGTCTCCCTCACAGGTTTGTTGTGGTGATGGGTGTGGATTTGTCCCGCTGTGGCCCTGACCACCCTGCATCCCGATGTCCCTGGGACCCTGGGCTCCTGCTCCGCTTCCTTGCAGCTATGGCTGCCGTGGGGGCCCTGGAGCCCCTGCTGCCTGGACCCCTCCTAGCTGCCCACCCTCGTGCAGGCACCGGTAGGTGATGCCCTGCCATTGCCCTTGACTTTTGCTCCTAGACTGGCTTTCATGCCAGCAACAGGCAATGGAGGTCAAATGTTCCTTGAATGGCCTTACCCTTGTTGACCTCTCTCTCTAACTGGATCTTCTCATGGTCTATTTGCTCTGCAGTCTCCTTCCTTATTTCTGCAAGCACCTCACTCGTAGCCATACCACAAACCTTGGGCTCTGGTTTGCCTCTTCAACTAGACAGAGTATCCAATCATCTCTTTATCAAAGTTCATAGTATGAAAAAATAACAACCAACACTTAAATCATGCTTACTATGTGCCATACCTGGCTGAATGCTTTTACATTAACTCATCTAATCCTCTCAATAACCCCATGAGGCAGTACTATTATTATCCCCATTTTATAAATGAGAAAATTAAGGCAAAAGGACATTATTGTACTTGCCCACAGATCCCATAGTAATAACCAGCCTTGCCAGAAATGGCTTTGCTTTGTGACTGTGTCTCTCCCCATAGTGCTCCCGGCCAACCAGCTCCCCTGGCCTGTGCTGTGCTCTCCAGTCGCTGGGGTGCTTCTCCTGGCCCTAGGGGCTCTTCTTGTCCTCCAGCTCATCCGACGTCGACACCGAGAGCATGGGGCCCTCTGGCTGCCCCCTGGTTTCACAAGACGGCCCCGAAATCAGAGGATCCCCCGCAGGCGCCGGCCTCCCCTGGGCGAGGACAGTATTGGCCTCAAGTGAGAGTGAGAAGGAACTGGGGCTTGGGGAGGAGAGTCTTTTCTAAGGAGATAGTCATGATCAGACTCGATAAAGAGATACTATTGCAGAAGCTGAAGATAGGGGATGCAGGGGAGGAGGGCTACCGGCAATCTTGAGGACCTTGATGGTCATAACCCCTTATAATCTCTACTCTCCCACATCCCTCCAGGGCTCTGAAGCCAGAGGCAGAAATTGATGAAGATGGAGTTGTGATGTGCTCAGGCCCCAAGGAGGGAGAGGAGGTGGGCCTGGTGAAAGGCTGGGGCGGGAATGGGTAACAGAGAAGACAGAGGATGCATCGACACCTGCTTTCATTGACCCTTGCTCTGATTCCCCAGGCTGAAGAAATGACCCCACCTTCCAAATGCCAGCTCTGGACTCTGAGTGGAGACTGTGGGGAGCTTCCTCAGGCAGCCATGCTGACTCCTCCACAAGAGTGTGAAATGGAGGCCCCTGATGTGGACACTTGTGGACCTGGTACGTGAACCCGCACAAAGCAAGAAAACGAATACCTCCTTTGACCCTTTTTAGAATCAGAAAGTTTTTTAATGTGAGAACTGGAGGAGCTAATATTAGAGTTATTGCCTTAGAACTGTGATTCTCAAAGTGTGGTTCCCAGACCAGCAGAATCAGCACCACCTAGGAAGGAATTTGTCAGAAATGTCAATGCTTAAGCTTCATCTCAGAGATACTGATTCAGAAACTCAAGATGGGCCTAGCTTTTTTGTTTTTTTTTCTTTTAAACAAACCCTCCATGTGAGTCTGATCCAGGCTCAAGGTTGAGAACTACTGTCCTAAAATGTTAAAGAGTTAAGACTTGCGGTTCCTTTTACAGATAAGTAAACTAAAGCCGAGAGAAAAGTAAAAGTCACTTGAATAAAATCACACCAAATGAAAAGCCAGAGCTGGGCTTCCTGAAGCCTCTGGCTATGATTCTCCCTGAGTTTCCATTTTCTCCCCTAACCCCAATTGTCCTTTTAATTGATTTGCCCTCTTCCTCATGTCTCTCACCCACAGATGGGGTAACACCCTTGATGTCAGCAGTTTGCTGTGGGGAAATGGAGTCCAGGCCCTTCCAAGGGGCATGGCTGGGAGGCCCTGAACCATGGGAACCTCTGCTAGGTGGAGGGGCCAGTCCCCAGGCTCATACGATGGGCACTGGGGAGACCCCTTTGCACCTGGCTGCCCGATTCTGCCGGCCAACGGCTGCCCGTCGCCTACTTGAGGCTGGAGCCAATCCCAACCAACCAGACCGGGCAGGGCGCACCCCGCTTCACGCTGCTGTAGCTGCTGACGCTCAGGAGGTCTGCCAGGTCAGCAAATACTGAAGTTCCTGAAGGGAAGATGGAGAGCTTTCAAGTAAAGCTGGGGAAAAAGTATCTATTGTCTAGGGTTTGGATCTGGTAGTGTAGTGCCTAAGGCACTTGACTGCTAACCAGAAGGCTGGCGGTTCAAACCCACCAGCCACTCCTTGGAAGGAAAGTTGGGCAATCAACTTCTGTAGCCATAGCGCCTCGGAATCTCAAGGAGGGGTCACTATGAGTCAGGTCTGACTCAACTCACATGACAACAGGGTTTGGCAAAGAAGTTGATGTGAGCTTGGGAACCTGATGGAAAGTAAAACAAGGACAGACAGCTGGATACGGATCACCCAGCTGCTTCAAGCCAATTCCAGTAGAACCCTGCCCCACATGGTGTTCAATGGCTGATTTTTCTTCACTAGGTCTTTCTTCTGAAGTACCTCTAAGTGGACTCAGATTGCCAACCTTTCAGTTAGAAGCTGAGCACTTAACTGTTATGTGCCACCCAGGAAACTCCTGGAGATGGATTAGGTGCGGGTTAAAAATGTGGGACTGACCAGGGTACCGCAAGGGTCACTGGCTGTCTGTGGTCTCCCAGCTCCTGCTCCGGAGCAGACAGACTGAAGTGGACGCGCGCACCGAGGACGGGACCACGCCCCTGATGCTGGCCGCCAAGCTAGCCGTGGAGGACCTGGTTGAAGAACTGATTGCGGTCCGAGCAGATGTGGGGGCCAGAGACAAATGGGGTATGGATCTGTAGAGGATGATGTGCTGAAGATGGGGTGTAAGAGGAGGTGCAAAAAGGGGCGGCAGAGGGACAAAGTGAAAGCTGGGGGATTCCCTCCTACCCTAAGTCTGCGGCGCGGTGGCAGCATGGAACGCAAGGGTACCCCCCCTCGCCTTCAACAATACACTTACTATCCCAGCCCACAGGGATTTAGGATGAGGAAAGAGTCCATGGGAAGTGAGAAGGCCGTGGTGGAGGTGGAGGTGGTCTCCCGGTCCCAGCGACCCCAGAACAATGCCCCATTGTCCCGCCCGCACGCCAGTGACGTCACCCGGGGCTACGCTTCCTGCCGGGTGGCGGTCTCCAGGGCAACGCTTCCCGCCTTTAAGGGACCCGACAGGCCCGAGTAGCCCTACCCCCAAGGACTGAATCCGTGGGAAACGGGAACCTAAGCGTCTGTCCCCAACCCCAGGGTAACAACTTCCCACGTTGTCCCCCAGGAAAAACTGCGCTGCATTGGGCCGCCGCCGTGAACAACGCCCGGGCCGCCCGCTCCCTTCTGCAGGCCGGAGCCGATAAAGACGCCCAGGACAACAGGGTTAGACTGAGGCAGCAGGTTCCGACAAAAAAGTGGGCGTGGGAGAGGTGAAAGTGCGGGAACCATACAAAATGTTAAGGGGGAGGGGCCGGCGGCGAGGTAGGTGGAGTCACAAGGCTCCAGTCTTGTGAGCCCAGTTCTCTGACTTCTCTTCCCTGGCTGTTTCCTCCCGCGCAGGAGCAGACGCCGCTGTTCCTTGCAGCCCGAGAAGGGGCAGTGGAGGTAACCCAGCTGCTGCTGGGGGTCGGGGCAGCCCGAGAGCTGCGGGACCAGGCCGGGCTAGCGCCCCGGGACATCGCCCGCCAGCGTAACCACTGGGATCTGGTGACGCTACTGGAAGGGGCGGGGCCACCAGAGGCGGGTCACAAAGCCACGCCGGGCAGCGGAGCTGGCGCCTTCTCGTGCGCGCGGATCGCATCAGGGAGCGCGCCCCCGCGTGGGGCTGGGGCTCTGCCAAGCATTCGGACGCTGTCTGCAGGAGCTGGCCCTCGAGGAGGCGGGGCTTGTCTGCAAGCCCAGACTTTGTCAGTTGACTTGGCCGCTCAAGGGGGCGGGGCCTATTCACACTGCGGGAGCCTATCGGGAAAAGGAGCAGGAGGAGGCCCACTCCCCCGTGGTCGGAGAGTTTTTGCAGGCATGCGCGGGCCTCGGTCCAGACCTGCCATAATGCGGGGAAGATCCGGGGTCGCGGCCCGGCGCGGGGGTGGGGCCTCAGTGGCTAACTGGCCCTGTGATTGGGTGGCTCTGGGATCCTGCGGCCCCGCCCCCAGCACTAAGATCCCGCCTCCTTGCCTTACTCCGTCCCCAGAGCGGGGATCCCCTCAAGCTGCCTGGGGTCCCCAAGCCCTAAATTCCGGAGGCGAGGGCCAAAAATAGGCTACGTGGGAGCAGGGAAAACGTCTTAAAATGAGTACCCATTAAATGACAAGCAGTATGGAAGGCCCTCCAGATTTTGAGGTTCTGGAGCCCCAAAGATGAGGTCATGAGTTTCGTTTCCTTCCCAACATAAGTGTGTGCTCACCAGAACAGGCATCGTCTTCCACGTCGAGAATCTGCAGCTCTGGAAAGGGGATTTAGGGTGTTGGGATGAGACAGGCCTAGCCCTGCTCCCAGAAAAATGAGTGAGGGGCTACAAGAAGGCAGTGAAGTGGGACAAGTCCCCTAAACTGGAACCAAGGACTGTAGGCAGATAGATCTAAGATGTTCTTTCCTAGATATGGTTTCCAAAGGAAACCTCTCATACCTCACCCCCGCTGCCTATATATAGATGGCTGACAGCTACTATGTGCCGGGCACTATAGGTGCCAAGGGGGAGGGCCCAAGGGCAACTCCAGCTGATGACCCCTTGCATTCACCCATCTCCCCAAAAAAAACTTCACTGAAGGCATGAAACACTAGTCTCCTAGCTACAGTTGTCTCTATTTAAAACCCTCAAATATGTCACCCATGCAATAAAGCTGATTTGAAATTTGATTTTTTTTGGAGGAGTTGAGAGCAAAAGTAGAAAAAATATGGGAGTGACTTTTGGAATTTTGTGCTCTAGGCTGAACATTTGGACAAAGAGCAAGAATAAGTAGTTTTGTAGATCATATGTTAATTTAGGGTAGCAGCTGAATGTGTGTCTAGTAGCCTAGGAAGAACACACATACACAGTAGACCATACCACTCTTTGTCCTTCACCCAAGGGCATTTGGTGATGACTGCTTAGGAGATTCCTAAAGTCTCAAGTTAAATAAAAAGAGACAGAGAGAACCTCTTAAGGAAACTTTATCCACCTTTCACCAACATGGTTACACCTGTCATAGTGATGGACCTAAGACAAGGAGGTGAAACGCAATTGAAAGTTAATAATAGCTACTGGTTATTATTACCAGAGTACTATCTGCCAAGTAGGAGCTCTGGTACCGTAGTGCCCAAGGCATTTGACTGCTAACCAGAAGGCTGGTAGTTCAAATCCACCATGCACTCCTCAGAAGGAAGGTTGGGCAATCTACTTCCATAGTGATACTGCCTCAGAAACCCAAGGAGGGGTCGCCATGAGATGGCTATGACTCGACACCAGTGGGTTGGGTTTGGTTTGATGTACCAAGTGCTTTATTGACTTCATCCTCACGTCAACACTATGAGGTAGGGGTTATTAAAACCTCATTTTCTTCTTATAGAAACTGAGACACAGAAAAGTTTATTTCCCCAAGATTGGATAGTAATAAGTGGCAGAACTAGATCTTCATACTCCAAGTCAGCATAAGCCTCCTAACATGACAGGTTGCCATTTGTTATTGCTATTATGTGCTGTTGAGTCGGCCCCAACTCATAGCAACCCCTCATTGGGTTTCCGAGGCAGTATCACTATAGAAGTAGATTGCCCAGCCTTCCTTCCGAGGAGTGGCTGGTGGGTTTGAACCGCCAGCCTTCTGGTTATCAGTCAAGTGCCTTAGGCAGTACACTACCAGAGCTTTAGAGGCCCCAAATATCTGTACCTGTCCTGCTCCCACCTTGGTGTCAGAATTAATCAAGGCTGGAGCAGGATGGTGTTCTGCTCCCTTTTCCATTTCTGTACCTCTCATTCATGACCGGAATAAAGTTCCCCTCTCCCTTCTCTGTGCTAAACTGAGTTGCCAGAATGAAATGCATCCCATTTTCCCATAGTTGATTCATGTCTTGTTCCCTGTAAGCACCTTGAGGGCAGGGATATTCAACACATATTTATTGAATATTCAGTAAATATACAATAGTAACTGAATTCTGTGTGTTGGACCAGGTGCTAAAGGTGTATGTATGTGTTTGAGGGCAGAAGATTCCTGAGTCTGTGTTCTCTGCTTCCTGTTGGGGCAGCACTCCTAATCCCAGTAGGTCTGAGGATTTGTGGGGAGAGCTGAATCCCACACGGAAAGGCCCTAGTGTGGGGGAGGGGCTAGGGGGTTCTGAGGCGTGAAACCACTTCCTGTGTAGCTAGTTCCTGTGTTGACAGTGTTGACAGAAAGAGCTGAAGGGGAGGTGGGGTGGAGGAAACAAAGCTAGGGGTTATGGGGGTGCTGAGGCTGTGGGGATAAGGAGGCTATGAGTCCTTCCCCACCCTGAGCCCCCCTCCTACTTCTGCAGCTGGAGGAGCTTTTCCTGGTCTCTGTGCTCCCCTGGGGCTAGAGAGGTCCAGCAAACTGTTTGGGTGGGAAAAGAGAACTGGAGGAAGTTGACAGGGATGGGCGGGGCCGGTGGGGGGGCTGACCAGGAACCCAGCTTCCTGCTCAGAACCCATCTAGCCCCCAGCTGGCCCCCTCCCCTTCCAGCCCCCTCTCCCTTCTGGAACCCAGGGTTCCAGCCCTCTTCCCAAATCCCAGCCACGCTTCCCCCATCAGTTTCTCCCCTTCAGGGGATGGAAGCCGAAAGACCCCAGGAGGAAGAGGATGGTGAGCAGGTGAGCCGGGCACCACCGAGGGGAGGAGGCTGACACTGGGAGACCGGGAAGGGAGAGGACTCAGGGCAGAGACCCAGCAACAGAGAACTCAGGAGACTTAAAGGGCTTGGGCACACTGAGGCAGGAAGGGAGACAGAGAGGAAGCAGGCTCCTGGCCTAGCCCCCTGCCTATTCCACCTCCTCCATTCACCTCTGCTTGACTGGAACGGACATCTCCCGGCATCAGGGCCCCTCCCAGGATGAACAGGGCTGGCCCCCTCTGAAAACCACTACAAGGCCTTGGCGATCTGCTCCTCCATCCCCTCCTCCTCCAGGGACGAGAGGCACAGGTACCTTCACCCGCCCAGGGAGCCTGCCAACCCTGCTGTCCACATCCTTCCTGACCCCATTACCAAGACATATTCTGTTATGGCCTCCCCCAACTCTGGACTCCCCATCACACCCCCTTAGCTCCAACCCAAAGACCCTAATCTCTTCACCCAGTTCCCTCTCACCCTCTGCCAGCTTTCTCTGTGTCTCTGAGCCCTCCTCCTCTCCCCAGGCCTGGGGCCCCGTTCGGCCTCCCTGCTCTCCTTACAGACAGAGCTCCTTCTGGACCTGGTGGCTGAGGCCCAGTCCCGCCGCCTAGAGGAGCAGAGGGCCGCCTTCTGTGTCCCCCAAAGCCCCCCAAACCGAGCCTCAGCCACACCCCGGCCTCTTGAGGACAGAGAACAGCTCTACAGCACCATCCTCAGTCACCAGGTGAGACACCCCCAGGAGGCAAGACCTAGACCTGGAGGCTAGTCCCTGTTCTCTTTCAAGCCCTACCCCTCCTCCCCAGGCAACCGCCCCATTGCCAGTCCCCAGTCCCCCCTTCCCCATCATAGGTATCCTGTATCCCCACACTAGCCCCTGGCTCTTCTCAAGTGTCCTCTCCCCTCAGAGCCTCACCAACACCATTCCCCTCCCTCCACTCCTCCAGTGCCAGCGGATGGAAGCCCAGCGATCAGAGCCTCCCCTGCCGCCAGGAGGACAGGAACTCCTGGAGTTGCTGCTAAGGGTTCAGGGTGGGGGACGAATGGAGGAGCAAAGGTCCAGGCCTCCCACACACACTTGCTGAGACTTGAGCTCCTAACTAGCCCCTTAGCACTCCTGGGGCTCAAAGCTGGGCTGCTCACTGCCTGCCCTCAACCCTGCTTGGCAGGGGCACCAGAGACTGGAAGACCCAACAGAAATCTCAATATTCATCCCCCTTGACCAGCTCCCCTAGGAAATGAAGGGGGTGAAAGTCCTCAAACCCTGGGAATAGGAAAAAGGCAAGGTAGGATGATTATTGAACTTCCTCCCCAAGCACATAGAAGCTTGAGGCAGTAAGAGGATCTCAGCCACCGGGGGACACTTCACTCCCCGGATCTCAGGGGGTGGCTTGGGGTCTCTGCCCTGAGCTGTAGGGACATCCCTAAGAGCCAAGTCACTAAGCAGGGTCTCAGGGCTCAGGCTTCCACCTTGCAAGAAAAGGCAAACCTCCCAAGGTTGTGGCCCGAGAGCCAGCCCACCCTCCTTCCCTAGAAGAAAGGAAGAGTGGGTGGGCGAGGAAAGAGATTAAGGCTCTCAGCCTACGCCCCCCACGGCTCTCGCCCACCCCAGGACTGAAGGGCTGTGAGCCGACCTTTAGCCTTGCCCACCCGCCCTTTCCGCCACTGCTGCTCCGACTTGGTCTGATGTTTTGGTTGTGTGAATAAATGCAATTTCCCTCTGGACTGAAGGCTGGTGTCTGGGGGGCGGGAGTGGAGGGTAGGAAGGTGAGGCCAGAGGCCGCCTCTCTCCCCAGTCTGGCCGGAGGCCAGCTCCCCTCCCTGGCTGGTTAATTACTGGCTCATTAAGCAGCGGCTGGAGACCTCGCTAATTATTCCCCCCAGCCCCCCTCTCCTGGTTTTAATTAAGTAGAACTGGGAGGAGAGTCATTAGGACAAGAAATATGAAGTGAGCTGTCTGTGAACCCAGGCATTCCAGCGGCCAGGGTCCGTATACACCCCGATCCCTGACGCAGAACCCAGGTTGCTGCCCCCTCCTGGGCCTCTGAAGTCCAGCCCTGGGGCATTCCCGCATTTTCTCTGATGGGCCAGCCTCGTCCCCTTGTCCTCTCCCCTCCTCCACTCGGTCTCAGTTCCTCTGTTTGTGTCTCTCCGCCCCCAGCTCCTCCCTGTTCCTCCTCCCTTCTCCCCTCCTCTTCCTCCCCGGCTCCCCTCCCCCATCCTCCCTCCCTCGCTACCCCCCTTCTCCCTCCTCCCTCTCGCTCACACACACCCCCGCTTGGGCCTCCTCTCTCTCTCTCCCTCTCTCTCTCTCTGTCTCTCCGGCTCCATTTTCTCCGCCGCCGGGGGCCGGGGTCTCCTGTGGGGGGCCCAGCCGGTACCCCAGGTCTCCCTTCAGGGCCGGGGTGAACCCCCGGGGGAGCCGGGAGGGAGGAGACGGGCGGGGGTGGGGGCGGAGGGAGCAGCGGCCCCGGCGAGTTTGGGGGGGGAAGTAACCAGGCGGGGGGAGGGGCGGAGCAGGGAGGGGGCCCCAGGGCCCCCCCCAGCTATGGACGAGCGGCTGCTGGGGCCGCCCCCTCCAGGCGGAGGCCGGGGGGGTCTGGGATTGGTGGGCGGGGAGCCTGGGGGCCCTGGCGAGCCTCCCGGTGGCGGAGATCCCGGTGGGGGCAGCGGGGGGGTCCCGGGAGGCCGAGGGAAGCAAGACATCGGGGACATTCTGCAGCAGATAATGACCATCACCGACCAGAGCCTGGACGAGGCCCAGGCCAAGTGAGTGCCCCCACCCCGGGACCCCACACAGACCATTCACAAGCTGTGAACCTTCTGGGAGCCCCTTAACTCCAGGACCCTCTCCGGAATCCTTCAGCTCTCTTCTCTCCTTACTCCTGGGACAGGCCCCCCAAGATAAGTGATCCCTCTCAAACCTCCTTTCACCCCCAGGCCCTGAAATCTTCACAGAGGGAACCCCAGGTGGACACACACACACACACACACACACACACCCCTAAACTCTCTCTGACCCCCACACTCCCTTGGAATGTCCTTCTGTCTCCGGAGCCCCCTTCTGGCTCCCATACTAAGAATATGCTCTCAGGCTGTGTTGTCCTCTCCCCTAACTCTCCAGCTGGCCCACTCCCATTCTCTCTAGATCTTGGGGCCTTTGCACCCCTCCCTGGAGCTCCTAACATTCCTCACCCACCCTTCCCCTTCAGTTCAGCCAGAAACTAGGCACCTCACATGTTCCCCCCTGCTCAGTCCCAGGACCCCTACACATACACATCTATACTGGACTCCCCACTTGACCTCAGCACCCCTAACTCTTCTCTGGTATCCTCAGTCTATGACTCTTCTCCATCTCAGCCTCCGTCTCTTTTCCTCTGAAATCTCCCTAGTCACTCATTTCTCTAATGACAGCCCCCCTGCCTGGCAGACTCTTACCCCATACCTTTACTTATCCATTCCCCAAAGTCTTCAACCCACTCATGGCTTCCTTAGCATCTTCCCTGTCTTCCCAAAGCCAAGCAGCTTCTCCACATCTTTGTGTTCTAGGAGCTGGTCCCTTCCCATGACCTCCCAAATCCATTCAGCCCCCCCAACCCAACTTTCTAATTTTCTTCTCCTTCCATAGATTACCTTAACCTTTTCCCTGGTTTTCAGGTTCCCCTTTCCCACCCTCTGCTGTTTCTGTAGCTTCTCAACTTCTTTCTTTTTTTCCCTGTTCCCATTCCTCTGAAGGAAACACGCCCTAAATTGCCACCGAATGAAGCCTGCTCTCTTTAGTGTGCTGTGTGAAATCAAGGAGAAAACCGGTATGTGGTCCCCCTCTGATTCTGCAACTCTGGGGACAGAACCCTGTTAGCTATAGGACTTGGACTAAGAGTTTGACAACTTGGGGTTGAGGAAAGTGGAAAATTGGGGGCTGGGGAGGAAACCAAAGCTGGGAAACTTGGGGCACCAGGAGGGCTGAAAGCTGGGTCAGAGGACCCTGGGTCCCTAAGTCCACTGCCTGCATCCTAGGCCTCAGTATCCGAAGCTCCCAAGAGGAGGAGCCGGTGGACCCACAGCTGATGCGCTTGGACAACATGCTTCTGGCAGAGGGTGTGGCTGGACCCGAGAAAGGGGGGGGATCAGCAGCAGCAGCTGCAGCTGCTGCAGCCTCGGGGGGTGGCGTGTCCCCTGACAACTCCATCGAACACTCAGACTATCGCAGCAAACTTGCCCAGATCCGCCACATCTACCACTCGGAGCTGGAGAAGTATGAGCAGGTGAGGAGAGGAGGCTAAGGTGAGTGGAGGGAGAAGCTCTTAGGGGAAGTCCCAAGGCCAAAGGACTCCTCCTCAACCATCACATGGGCCCCATGCAGGCATGTAATGAGTTCACAACCCACGTCATGAATCTGCTGAGAGAGCAGAGCCGCACACGGCCTGTGGCGCCCAAGGAGATGGAGCGCATGGTGAGCATCATCCATCGGAAGTTCAGTGCCATCCAGATGCAGCTTAAGCAGAGCACCTGTGAGGCTGTCATGATCCTGCGTTCACGCTTCTTGGATGCCAGGTGGGGCCAAGAGGTCAGGGCCATCCCCAAACCAAGTCATTCCTCTCCAGCCCCCAAGCTGCCATGTTGCACAATGTGGTACCTTGTGACAATGATGTCTTCTAGGGTTATGCAACATGGTGGCCCTACCAAGACACCAACATCCTCCTCACCACCCTTCTCCCTCCCCTGTAGACGAAAACGCCGGAATTTTAGCAAACAAGCCACTGAGGTCCTAAATGAGTATTTCTATTCTCACCTGAGTAATCCATATCCCAGCGAGGAGGCTAAGGAAGAACTCGCCAAGAAGTGTGGCATTACTGTCTCTCAGGTATTGGGGGTAGGTGGCTTGGAGAGAAGGAATCTTCAGGCAAAAGCTCTCAGCTCCCATTGAATGAGGGGGCTTCAGAGAGAGAGGTTTCCTGTTGACCCTTCTTTCCTGCCCAATATCCCACAGGTTTCCAACTGGTTTGGCAACAAGAGGATTCGCTATAAGAAAAATATTGGGAAATTCCAAGAGGAGGCAAATATCTATGCCGTCAAGACCGCCGTGTCAGTCACTCAGGGGGGCCACAGCCGCACCAGCTCCCCGACACCTCCTTCCTCTGCAGGTGGATCCCACTGCCACCCTGCCTGGCTGTTTTGCACACTTCCTGCTTTTGTTCCCACTTCCTGTCTAGGCAGGATCATAGTAGAGGGGGCCTTTTGGGGTGAGAAGGACCAAGCTGACACAAGGTGGGGGTGCTGGGGGACAGAGGCCAGTGTAGTTATTTCTGTTTTTCTTCCAGCAAGTGGCCTGGAGAGATTCGGGAACAGCCTGTTCTGAGTGTTGAGATGTTGCTTTGTGGATAGTTTGGGTATAGTAGCACATTCCCACAGAGCTAGTGCAGAAGGACTTTTGGAAATTCAGATTTGTGGTGAGTCTCGTGTCTGCCCTTTTGGGCTCTGTTGAACTTTCCCTAATTCCCTCTCTGCTTCCTCAAGGCTCTGGCGGCTCTTTCAATCTCTCAGGATCTGGAGACATGTTTCTGGGAATGCCTGGGCTCAACGGAGATTCCTATTCTGCTTCCCAGGTCAGGGCCCCATCTCCTTTTGAGTAGGGCCTTCCCAAACCCTGTTTCTCTCCCTTTGGGATTCAAGAACTTTTTTTTCTGCACCTTCTCCTCACTGTGTCATACCTGTCTGTGCTGCCTGCAGGTGGAATCGCTCCGGCACTCCATGGGGCCTGGGGGCTATGGGGATAACCTTGGGGGAGGCCAGATGTACAGCCCCCGGGAAATGAGGGTGAGTGGATACTGGAAGCCTCCCTCTCTCCGGCTCTCATCAGGACAGGAGGGTCTTCTCCCTGACAGCATTGTCCCTACATAGGGTTTCTCAGGGCCCTAACTATTGCTCTCTCCTTTTCCAGGCAAATGGAGGATGGCAGGAGGCTGTAACCCCATCCTCAGTGACATCCCCGACGGAGGGACCAGGGAGCGTTCACTCTGACACTTCCAACTGATCTTGTCCCTCAGAGCCACGGGCAGGGAAATCACAAGTCGACTCTTAAAGAAGATGTAGGAATCCAGAGGACAAACCCCAGAGGAGAAGCACAAGACAGAAGGGCAAATGGGGTCTTCCCCCTTGGACTGGACTCTCAGTGCTAGGGGTGGTAACTATGTGGCAGGGAGAATGGGGTACCCTAAGGGGACAGTGGGGTCTGTCTCCCCCTTTTTTGCTCCTTTCAGCCTTTCTCTCCCCTTTCTCACATGGAGAACCATACATATGCACACACTTCCAGAAACCTGCTTTTCAGACTTTCTCACACAACTCTTCTGTTTCTCTCGCGTGCTCTCTCTGGCCTCCCCCTACTTGCCCCGCCTCACCCCACTTATCTGCTCTGGAATCTGTGGAGACGCCAGCCCTGCCCGACCAGAGATGCCAAAAATGGGGACACAACTTCTGGACAGAGGACATGGGCCGTGCCCCTGTGCATCCCCACCCCCTGCTCCTCCAGACGGCTTTAATACCTCATACGCAGCTCATCTTAAACCAATAGAATCGCTCGGTGGACGAGAGTGTCTGACTCAGATATCTACCTCGGAGGGAGTTTCTGCTACTTTAGGGAATTGTTGACTGGGCTTTGGGGTTGAATTGTTTTTTTTTTTTTTAAAGGAAAAAAAGAAACCCTGGGATTTGTCTCTGCTGGGGAGGAGGGTTCGGTTTTTGGTTGTCGTTGGTTCTTGGTTTTTCATTTAGTTTGGGGAAGTAGATGTTTTTATAAATATGTCGACTGATTTTTGTTTGTTTTGTTTTGATTTCTTGTTTTCCCATATTAGGAGTTGATAGCCAAAGTGTTCATGGTTAAGAGAAGGGGGAATGAATAGAACTGGTGAAGAGGCTTACCTGGCCCCAGCCCTGTCTATCAGGAAGTGATGTCCTCCTTTGTAAAATGGCAGAGGTGTTTTCTTTCGCTTGTACAGGCAGCTGAATGCTGCATTTGGTGGGGAGGATGTGCAGGGCAACCTTGCCAGCCTTCTGTTTGTTCCCTTCTTGCCACAACCCTAGGGCAGGGCTGGACTCAGTGTCAGTAATTTTGAGGAAATTGAAGGTGCTACCTTCCCCTGTGACAGGTCTTTTTTTTTTTGGGGGGGGACTATTTTCAGTTTGGAAGGGGGAAGGATCAGGAGGGGGTGACTGCCAAATATGTTAAATATGGTTTGGGATGCTTGTATATGTATCTTCCTCAATTTACCCAGAAATGAGGTATCTTTTTTTTCTCTCGCCAAAATTAAGGGAGTAGAGAGAGAGAAGAGAGGTTGCAAAAAGCCAGGTGTGAGGGAAAGAACAACCAACACTGTCTAATCCTGGGCCCTGAGCCCCACCATCTGAACCCCTCAGGCATCCTCAGGATTTAACAAGACTGAGGGGAATCTCTCCCATCAATGATCTGGACAGATGGCGGGGAGCAGGTTGGGAGTGTGATGGGTAGGGTGTGGGAGGCATGGTCCAGGAGCAGTTCTCTCCTCACTTGTAAACTTGTAGTTTCACAGAACAAACTGCGGTTTTAAATAAAGAAATTTCTTTTTTCCCTGGGTTTCGTTGAGAATTTTTTTCATAAGCACGGAAACCCCAGAAGGAAAATGTTTCATTCACAAAGCCCCAGACAGGTTTGGTTCCTAGTTCACCTGTGCTTCCTCCCACCTTGCCCTCACTACCCAGGCCCACAGTTAACCCTTGTCTCCCCTGCCACTGGGAACAACAGCCACGCCTAAACCTGGTTGCCTAGGAACCTTGCCTAGTCAAGATGGGGCTCCAGTCATCCACCAGGCAGGTCTTGGGCGACAATGATGGAAAATGGTGGTGGGCCCTGAGGGGATGAAAAACTTGAAGGCTCCTCCCTACTCCCATAGGTGTGGTTGTGCCCACAGGCTGGTAGTGCCCAGGGGTGGGGTGATAATAGTTTCTCCTAGTACCTGAAGGACTCTTCAGAGAGGCACAAATTCCTAGCATTCCCTGTGACTGAACAGGACAGGGAGATGGGGGGCAGGGGCAGGGTACAAGCCTCCCCTAGGGCGGTGGCCCTAGCACTAAAGGGGCAGACGGTTCCCAGAAGCCTTGAGAGGAAGCAGGATGGCAGCAGGGGCAGCGGCCGGAGCCTGGGTGCTGGTCCTCAGTCTGTGGGGTGAGCCACTCCCCCCCCCAACCCTTCCTCCCTGCAAAGGGCACACTGTGATATCTAGCCCCCTGCCCCCTTCAAATCTCCCCAGAACTTTGCAGGAACCTGGGAACTGCTTTTCAAGCTCTTTTACCCATCCTATCCTAATTTCGTCAGTCCCCATCTTACTTGCTGCCCCTCCACCATGGTGCTGTCTCCCAGGGGCAGTAGTAGGCAGTCGCAACATCACAGCCAGGATTGGAGAGCCACTGGTGCTGAAATGTAAAGGGGCCCCCAAGAAACCACCCCAACAACTGGAATGGAAACTGGTAAGCAAGGCTTCTGTCCCAGTCACCTAACTTCCAGTGAGAGCAGCAAAGATTGGCATCCCTACTTCCCTACCTCATCAGCACTTCTCAAAGGACTTGCACTGTTTTCACCCCCTTTTCTTTGTCCCCAGAACACAGGCCGGACAGAAGCTTGGAAGGTCCTGTCTACCCAGGGAGACACCTGGGATAGTGTAGCTCATATCCTCCCCAATGGCTCCCTCCTCCTTCCTGCTGTTGGGATCCAGGATGAGGGGACTTTCCAGTGCTGGGCAATGAGCCGGAATGGGAAGGAGACCAAGTCCGACTACCGAGTCCAAGTCTACAGTAAGGGTTCCAGGGCCTTCTCCAGGGCCCACCTCTCATCTAAGGAAAAGCCTTCAACCCCAGCCCTTGATGATTCCTTGGCCCTAGTGTGTGAGAACCTTGAGAACCTCTGACTTCCACTCCTCCCATCCCCACACCTGGGGGTGCACGCTGCTGCAGCCTCTCACTGGATTTTTCCTCCTCCAGAGATTCCTGGGAAGCCAAAAATTATAGATCCTGCCTCTGAACTCACAGCTGGTGTCCCCAATAAGGTAGTGGAAGAAAAGGAGGAAAGAAGCTGGCCCTGTGAATGAGAGAGGAATGTGGGTTTTGTGTACCTGTTTTCAAATGATGAGGCAGTCACTCTTTTCCCAGGTGGGGATCTGTGTGTCCGAGGGGGGCTACCCTGCAGGGACTCTTAGCTGGCAGTTGGATGGGAAACCCCTGATATCTGATGGAAAAGGTGAGTCTCAGGGTAGCCTCTCCGAGCTGCCTTCTCTCTGATCGCTCTCCCGCGCCCACCCTGGGATGTCTTCCTACCACCTCAGGAGTGTCTGTGAAGGAAGAGACCAGGAGACACCCTGAGACAGGGCTCTTCACAGTCCAGTCGGAGCTGATGGTGACCCCAGCCCTGGGAAGAACTCCCTGCCCTACCTTCTCCTGTAGCTTCAGCCCTGGCCTGCCCCGGCGCCGAGCTCTGCACGCAGTCCCCATCCAGCCCAGTGTCTTGGGTGAGCGCAGAGGTAGGAAGGGCCCCAAGCTCAGCAAACACGTTCTGGATATATAGCCCTCAGGAAGAGAGGGGACAAGCTCATCTCCATGGGACCATTCAGAGGTGTGATTCTCAACCTTACACCCCTCCCCAGCCCCAGAGTCTGTGCCCCTGGAGGTCCAATTAGTGGTTGAGCCAGAAGGTGGAGCAGTAGCTCCTGGTGGAACTGTGACCCTGACCTGTGAAGCCCCTGCACAGCCTCCACCTCAGATCCACTGGATCAAGGATGTGAGTGACCTGGAGGGAGTTGGGAGGTAGAAAGCACATCATGGGCAACTAGAAGAATGGCAGAGGCTAATGGACGGAGAGGCAGACTAGGAGCTGGGGAGGAAGACAGGGTATCTGAGGATGTACAGAAATGTGCAATATGTGGAGAGGTTTCATCATAGTCTCCTATCCCTGTTCCCTCATCAGGGCATGCCCCTGTCTCTGCCCCCCAGCTCCATGCTGCTCCTCTCTGAGGTAGGGCCTCAGGACGAGGGAACCTACAGTTGTGTGGCCACCTATCCCACCCACGGGCCCCAGGAAAGCCCTGCTATCAGCATCAGCATCATCGGTGAGATGACCCCCCCCCCCAATCCCAAGGATCCTGGGCCTGGGGTGAGGGGTGGTGCAGGCTTCTATTCCCTCCCCTGTTCTGGCATTGTCCCAGAACCACACCATCCCTTCCCCTGGTGGCCTACACCCAGGCTGCCTCTGCCCCACCTAAACCCTGCCAAGAGATCAGCCCAGCCCTAAAGGAGCCTCTCCCCTCAACCCTTAACTGAAGGGAAAGACACTCCACTGGGGCCCCACTAAACAGCGCTCTCCAAAACTGAAGCCTTGCCTTTTGACTTGCTCTGACCTTGTCTTCCAGAAACAGCTGAGGAGGGGCCAACAGCAGGTGAGGGACTGGATAAGGTCAGAAAGAAGAGGCAGACAGACCTCAAGACACATGGCAAGGGGTATGGTCAACAAGAAAGAGTAGTGAGTGATGGGGACTGTGCTCTCAGTTCTCCTCTCCCTACAGGCTCCGTGGGGGGACCAGGGCTGGGAACTATAGCTCTGGCCTTGGGGATCCTGGGAGGCCTGGGGACAGCCGCCCTGCTCATTGGAATCATTGTGTGGCAAAGGTGGCGACGCCAAGGAGAGGAGAGGTAAGTGGAGGACGCCAGACTCCTTAGAACGGAGCTTCTAGGCAGCAAGTGAAGGGCTTGAGGTGGTACAATGGAGTGTTGGGAATCATATACACGATTCTCCCCAATGCTCCTCCCCAGGAAGGCCTCGGAAAGCCAGCAGGAGGAGGAGGAACGTGCAGAGCTGAATCAGTCAGAGGAGCCTGAGGTAGCCAAGGACAGTGCAGGAGGGCCTTGAGAGGCCCACACCAGACCTCAGCCACCAGGTCCCTTTCTCTTTTCCTTTCACTGTTCTGGCCTCAACCCAGCTCTCCCCTGTACCATCCCTACCCCAACTCACCAAACTTCCTTCCACAACTAGGGCCCCCCACAAACAATGACAAGTAAACACCTGACACATTGTGCCCTATGTGCTTGTCTGTGTATGTGGCAACCTCACCCCTGCACATCTGAGAGCCTGGCATGAGGGGCTCTCCCCAATACTGTCCCCAAACTACCCCAAACATCTGTTCAAGCTGGGGAGAAGATCCTCCTGTCCAGGAAGGTGGGAGGGTGGAAGACGTTAAAAAGAATTTCCACCAATACGTTTCACTTTTTTTAATTGAATTTGTAATAAAGGAGGTTGTGAGTAGGAAGAACCACTTAGTGTCAGAACACGTATTAGACACTGGGAAGAGAAAAATTAAATTAAACCAATAAGGGGTGGGGGAGAGTGGGAGAGAGTCAGAGGGAACCTTGCCCACCATTTCAACATCAAATCTAGAAATCTAGGGGACAGCAAAGGGTTAGGAGAGAAGAGAAACAGACATTCTCTTCAGTCTGTCCTCCTCCCTAGGGCTGGGAGTTAGAATGCCATTAAGCGAGTAGTTCAGAGCAGAAAGCTCTCTTATCCTGTATCCAGACGTCACTTCTCCCTGCACCCTCCTTGAGAGTGGCTAGTTGGGCCTTAGCCAACAGAAGTGGAGGGGCTGGGGGAGAGGGGTCAGGAGTAAGGAGGGTCAGGAGGGACCCCAATACTGATTCTCCTCTGGCTGGAGGTGGGTAGGAAGGCGACACAGCTCAAATACTGAGCAGCCAGAAGAAGAAGAAGATGGCAAGAAACAGGAAGAGGGAGTCCTGCCAGCTAGAAGCTGGGTGGCCCTGTCCCAGATCCACACCTGTGGGAGAGAGAAGAGTTGTAGAGGAAGGACCCACTCCAGGGTCAGGAGGGGGCTCGAGGGGACACAGAGTGCTCCACAGTAGGAGCCGAGGGGACAACTCTTACCTGTGCCTCGACGGAAAGGCTCACGGGCATTGAAGACGGTGGTGAAAAAGCCAAAGGGAAAAGCACCAACACCAAATGAGAAGTGAAAGCCCCCAGTTTCGCCAAATGGTTGGAATCCCTAGAGACGTGGAGAAAGTCAGGGGGACGCAGGCAAGTCTTAGGCAAGGAATGGACACAGTGGAACAAGAAGACTTACCCCTCTGCTCTCCGGAGCTGGTCGCTGGCCCTGGGGGCGAGGTGGAGTTTTCAATCTGAGGAAGGGGGGGGGGAAAGAAACAAACTCACTGCCATCGAGTCGGTTCTGACTCACAATGACCCCCTTTGGGTTTCCGAGGCAGTAAATCTTTATGGAAGTAGATTGTCCAGTCTTCCTTCCGTGGGGTGACTGGTGGGTTTGAACTGCCAGCCTTCTGGTTAGCAGTCAAATGCCTTAGGCACTGTGCCACCAGATCTCCTTGAGGAAGAGGAAATGGAGTAGCAATAGGAATGTTCTTTTTTCCTTCACACATGCCTCCCAGGGCAGGAAGTCTCCAACCTTCCCTCAGCACACCCTTCTTTCTCACCTGGGATCCTGAGGCTTCTGGCTCCCTCGCCCATAAAGTGGAACCACCTGCTCTCTGCTGATCCCAGCTTTACACACTGGGCACTCTTGCCTCTCAGGTCGTGTCTCCAGCCACTAGGGAGAAAAAAATAAGGTTTCCAGTACAGTCTTCCAGCACCTCAGACCTCCCCCCGTCTCTCTCTTCATCTTCTCTGAGTACGCACCTGATGAAGACAGGGCCAACTGGATAGGGGGAGGGGAAAGAAAAAAAAAAAAAAAGGTCAAACTAGCTATAGAAGAGATGCAAACTCATCGATACTCATCTCACTCCTCTCCCCTGGTATCCCTGCTATTGCTTTTCACATTTTCTACAACCTCTACCACAACAGCCAACCCAGTCTTCCTGCTTCTATGATCTTCCAACACCTAAAGCTCCAGCCATCTCCAACATACTCACTCCTCTTCTCCCTTAACACACAAACACGCATTCTCAACTCCTCCTTTCTCTGCCTGTCGACTTAATTTCCAGTTAATCGCCAACACAGCCACATCACTCCCAAGCCAAACCCCCTTTACTATCATATCTCCTTTCTACTCTCTCAGCCTCAATTAAATCCTTGTTTCCATGACCTTTTAACCATTTAAGGCTGCCCCTCCACAGTGCCTTTATTCCCAGATTTGTCATCGGAATGTGATCGTACCGTGCGTCTCCCATACTCAACTAATGCATGCCTCACCTAATCTTTGGGTCTCATCTGTTTCCACCTGTACAGCTAAGCCACTTACTTGAGATAAGGAGATCTCACCTTACTACACCTTCCACGTGCTGCATGCTGTGTCCCTCCTATTCCACACCCTCTTAACATATCCCACATTTCTATGACCCCTACTTTCCACAGGTTTCATCTTTACAGACGTGACTTCCACCCACACATTCCTAAAGAGACATATGACCTGTCTTCGTGTATCATATATGGGGATGTGCCCTATGATTATCTGTATGATTGTATAGTCCCCCGCCGCCAACCTCCTCAGTAGAGAGGTGAGCCCCTCCTCCCGCCCCCCTTTCCCGGGTCCTCACCAGTATAAGTGGCCACACACACTGACCACAGCTTCCCGAGCAGTCTCCAGACATATATTGCATTCGAAGGTCGCGCCCGCCCCGCCCCGCTCGCGGTTTGGCCCTTCAGGGCCCCCGTCCTCCTCCTCTGCTGCTGCCATGGCCGATTCTATTTCGCCCCCGCGTACCCTCACAGTACACCCAAACACACATACACACACCCCTACACGAGAGACCGCCTTCTGCCCACAATCTTTGGGCAGGCGTCAAGGCTTTTTAATTACTATTGGTCTGCGTGCCTGCCAATCACATGGGTTCCAAAGAAAAGATTGGTCTAAAGGTGGGGGCGAAAAGAGGCTTGCGCGGTCCTGCCTTTGCACAATGATTATTGGTTGGTACAGTCGGAGTAAGTATCTATAACCATGGGATTTGTAAAAACTCGATAGTCCTGCGCCTGGCCAGGGAGGGGCCTTATTCGTCTGAGTAACTGCCTGTCATAACCAAAGGCCAGAAGCAATTGGTTCGGGGCTACATAGACCTTGCCCACCATAAACCCTTTTCTTTCCTTCCCTTCCTCTTTGGAGAAAGTCTACGTTCCTATTGGACTTTTGAACTTGTGACTCAGAAGCAATTGATTGGTTAGAACTCGTCCGGAAAATGGAGGATAAGTAAACTGCGCATGTGCAACACGCGGTGGGCCTGGCCGGGCCAATCTTAAAAGGATTGAGCTTTCTCTGGTCCCACCCTTCACCGCGATCTTGTCTCCATGGTAACTGCTCTACAATTGGCCGGGCTCGAGGTTCAAAGGCCACGGTACTGTTTCATCCGGGTCCTCTGGCTGTGGACTCCCTCAACTGGTTGGGCTGTCTCCTTCGCCCCTGATTCGCCGGGATCTGGAAAGACGGCGAACAGTCGGAATAGAGGGCAAATATTAGGATCGCAGGGTTCAAAATGGCTCCAGCCGCCTTTGGTGATGTAGAGAGAACATGGGTCTGCCCCTCCCTTTTAGTGAAGAAGGGAGCAGAACTGGGATTAGCCCGACGTTTGGATGGTGCGAGCATTGGTGTGCGGCGCTGGTGTTAACCCATCTCCCTCGGCTGGACGGCTCAGCCTGCCCCTCTTTAGGTGATTTACAAACCAGAACAAAGCTAATGGCCCATCCCTTTTTTAATGTGACACACAGGGTAGAATAGGGTGGACGTCTACTTTTCAGGTATTAAACCTGAAAGCAGAAAAGGACTGGCTCCACCCTTTTGTGAGGGGGTGTAGATGGGCAAGACCCACCCCTTTTTAGGTGACACGCGGCAGAATGGGGTTAGGCTCTCTCCTTCCTTGTTTTGGTGTGTCCAGCAGAACTGGGGTCTTCCTCTGACCTGGACCCTTAGGACTTAGGCAAGCTGCTTCAGAGTTTAGGCCTTTCCTAGACAAGGACCATCACTCTGGCGCAAGGTGTAGAGTTAGGTAACACTGGCAGTGTTCTTTACATCCTCCCCCAGGGCGTGTAAATTTAAGCAAGGAAAAGGCGTGTCTGGAGCCAGAGTCAGAAGCTGGTTAAAAGCTATTCAGCAACACCCTGATAAAAGGTCTCACGTGACTCGAGTGGGGTGAGGTGGAAAGTTGAGAGATGATCAGAAGGCAGGGGAGGTGAGGGTTCAGAAGGCCTGAAGACATTTAGGAAAGAAGGAATTGAGAGAGACAGGTGGAGAACAAGGAAGGAGGAGTCATGGAATGATCCTGGTAAAGGGATATATGGGGAAAGGGGGAGCAGGGCTGGAGAGGGAGCTAGATACAAGGGTACAAAATTAAGGAGGCATGCTCACCCTAGAGGAATTAGTATTCTTACACCTCGCCAGGAACCCACTACAAGAAAAGAAGCAGTCAGATTCAATGTTGGGGGGGAGGGATGACAGGATTGGCTCAGCTTGAATGAGTAAGGAGGCTGATAAGGAACTAGAAAAGAAAAAGTACTGACATAAACAGTATGGAAGAGAAAGGGGAGAGGGCTGGAGAATATTTCTTATTTTTGAAGTCCAGCGAGGGTAGGGGAAGGGAGCTAGACTGCTAAGTGATAATGGTGGGGACAAAAGGGCAAAGAGACTAGACCAAAGGACTGAAGGGTGAGGTGAGGAGAGATGGAGCCCTGAAGAGCAAAAGAAGGGAGGTAAAGAACTCCGTGCCTAGCAGATAATAGGTGCTTAATAAATGTTTGGAACGGAATCGAGGACAGGAAAGAGGGTCTTTGAGAATCAAAGTTGGAGCTGGAGAGAATAAGCAACAGATATGGGAACGAAGGAGAAGGAGAAAAACCAGAAAGAGTCCAAGTAAAAGTGTCAGTAAGTGAAGAGCTGATGGGGAAGGAATGGGCTGAGGAAGGAACACGGCACCTAGGGATCCTGAGTTGTGTATGCTGAATGGGGGTTGCAGGAAAAAAAAAAAAAGCAGCAGCAGCAGGTGGAGCCCAAGGGGTCCGAGCCCAGCTGAGCTCTTGTGAGGAGGAGCTAACAAGAGGCTATGCCTGAATCCTTGGGAGGTGATTGGCAAAATAGGCCGCCCATCACCGCCCCCCACTTCCTGGACTGCCCCGGAAACCAGCAGGCGTTGGGGAGGGGTGTGGGGGGATAGCGGCAGCAGCAGCCCCAGCCCTCAGAGAGAGACAGCAGGAAGGGAGGGAGGGAGGGAGCTGGGGGGACAAACCCCTATCATTCCTACCGCTATGGGCCCAGCCTCCCACTCCCATCTCCTCTCCACCGGCCGGGGCTAGGACTCCCCCCAGTCCCGTCGCCCCCCTGGCACCGACATCCCGACAGAGGCAGAGGCACAACCAGCCGCCACCACCGCTGCCGCAGCCTGGCTGGGGAGGGGGCCAGACCCCCAGACCCCCCACCCCACTGAGGTGGGGGCGGGAAAGGGACGGAGGGAGGAGGGACGTGGATGAGGGATGGGGAGAGATTAGGTCTGGGAGGGCCGATTGGGGAGAGGGTTGCTGAGGAAAGGAGAGGGGGCCTGAGAGGGAGGAAGAATGGAACAGACAGGGGAGGGAGGAGAGCTAGAGACCCTGTGAATTGGGCACTGGGGGTATGGGCAGGAAATCCTGAAGAGGGAATTCCCTACAGCTTCCCCAATTTTCTTCCTGGTCTTTGGCCCCACATGACTTTTGAGGGGGGGGGGAGGGAGGAAGGTGGTTTATTGTCCTCTTTCCCCCAGCAGCATTTGCTTCCTAGGAATGTCCTCAGAAACCTCTCTGTTTCGCTCCAGGCACAGGCCCTCTGGTTTCACAGTGGCCTTCCACACTGTGCTAGACCCTTACTGACACAGATGCCTTGTCTGGGGCCATGTTTTCAACATTGAGCCTGTGTACCTTTGACATGTTTAATGGTTTGTGTGTGCCTCAGTTGCCCCTTTGTTGTCCATAGGCTGTAGAGAAGTGATGTGTTATTTTCCCTCAGAATTCCCTTGCTCTCATTTTGGGTCTTATGTCTCCCAGATCTGACAGAGTCAAGTACCTTTATGTGTGTGTTTTCATATATTGCATCTATTACGTGGTTTCATGGTACTGGCATATTTTATGTTTTTACATGTCTACTTTAGCGTTGTAAAGGTTATACCTTATTTTGTTTTGGCTCACATGCCCACGGTCCATGCCGGAATCTTCATGTGTGGAATCCCATGGTTTAGCTAGGACTAAATCAGAGTGACTTGTGCACACTGATTAAATTAGCTTGTTTGCTGCATGTTTTCACATGGCACGTGTGTGTTCCTTCTCAAGTGTATGATTCTGGTTACACGTATTATTTATTTCATTATATTATTGGCAGTATATTTTGTGAGTTTGGCATTCCCACATGTTTTTAAAAATCCTTGGACATCTGCTCCTGAGAGGGTCAATGACTTACTATCACATACTAAGGCTGAAGGGAGTAAAAGAAAGGTAACTGGGTCTCCAAAGAGATACATATGCTTTACCTTGCTGACTTCCTTGGTCTGTATCTCTTTACTCACATTATCTCTACTGTATCTGTGTCTGTGAAGCTCACCAGTGGTATCACAGGGTCAGCCCTGCCTGGACGCCCTCCCCCACTTATCATCTACATCTGTTGGTGAACATTATCATTCACCTCTTTGCACTTTTGGCCTGTATTTGATGGCAGCAGTATGCTCCTCCCCTGTGACATACAGACTCTCATTCTGTATGTGAGATGACACCTTTCATCTTCATGGTTACCATGCCCATGTATTGTTTGTGTATATTCAGAATAGGTTACTGTGAGACTTGACACATTCATTATTTTCATTTCATCGTATTTCTTGAGAGATGTAGTTATCTGATTCATGATCAGAACTGTCTTTTTGCATTGATTGTGGGTGTGTATATACAGCCTTATTATCCCATTCAGCAAAGCTTTATTGAGTGCCTACTCTACCTCCTGTCCTGGGCATTGGGGATAAAGCAGTCCTGTCCTGAAGCTACTTACAGACAAAATGAAAATGACAGTGAACAAGTACATACAGTGTGGTGACAGTGTAGTGTCAAGATCAGTGGTCCTCAAACTTGTGTGTGCATCAGGCTCACCTGGAGGGCTTGTTGAACACAGATTGCTGGGCCCAATGCCCAGAATTTCTGATTCAGTAGGTCTGGGGTAAGGTCCAAGAATTTGCATTTCTAACATCCCCTGGTGATTCTGATACCACACTTTGAGACTCACTGATCAAAATAAAAATGTAATAAAACACAGGCCTGGAAGTTTGTAAAAAGTGACACTGGTCTGTGTGAGGCAGGTGAAGAAGAGGAGGAAGTGCGTTCCAGCCAATGAGAACAACGTATTCAAGGCATGGTAGCATGAAAGCCCATGTTGTGTCTGAGGAACTGAAGTAAATCAGTTTGACTGGAGCAAAATGGCTTTTGTGAGGATGTGGCCAAAGATATAAGCAGAAGTCAACTTGTCCAGAAGGGCTTTTAGGGAAATGCTCAGATTGTGCTGCAGAAAAATCTGTGCTTACCATGTAGAAGATGGGTTTGAGGGAAGACAGGAATCTACAGCAAATAGTTCAGGGTCCAGGGGAGAATCAAAGCTGGTATCAGCTTACAGGGTAGCAGGGATGAAGCAACTCAGAGATGCTGCCGCTTTTGCTTTCAAGCTGCTTTCTTGAGCTGCTATCACTTTCGAGCTGCTGCTTTCAAGCTGCTGTGGAAGTTTCTGTTTCTTGTGTTGCCTGTCAGCCTTCACCCATCACAATGGGCTTACCTTTGAGCACAGCACTTCCCGTGCCCGGAAGGGAAGGGAGTGCCTGTAGCCTTGATGGGAAAATGACAGGTATTTGCCTGAACACCTTTTTTATGAATTGTGACCACACCCCCAGAGTCGGGCAGAGTGAAGGAAGGAGGAAGAACTAGAAGGCAGGTGCTGTGTGCCTGTGCCTCTTTCTCCCAAGCCCTTCCTTCTCCTGGGAAGGTAGTATGATGCCCTTTCCATTCTCTACCCTCCTCTTTCCACTTAGTGAGGCCTTTCACACTGTACCTTCCTGACCAAGTTGCCTCTAGGGTTGCTGGAAGGAAGAGAAGCGGATAATGGGATTTGCTTGTCTTTCTTTTTGTGTAGCAGCTCCATGGATTTATCTGGGAATGGGGGAGGCTGCCTGGGTGCAGAGGGATATTTCTAGGTGTGCACTTAGGTTTCTCTATCTGTCACTGGGTATATTTGTAAATTTTTTTGTGTGAGCATCATTGTATAACAGGGTATGTCTGTCTACATTCGTGACATGAGCCTTTATTCTTGCCAGTCAGTCCTTGAATGTGTGTCTGTGGGTAATCTGTCACTATTACTACCTGCTACATGTACATAGCATATGCATACATATATGCCGTGTGCACAGGTACATAGTGTATGCATACAGGCAGCAGTGTAAGCAAGTGGTTAGGAATATGAGCTGCTTAGGTTTAATCTAGGAACTGCCTCTTAGGAGCTGTATGACTATAAACTCACTTCCATCAAGTGAATTCCGACTCATAGTGACCCCCTTTGGGTTTCCGAGGTGGTAAATCTTTATGGAAGTAGATTGCCCAGTTTTCCTTCTGCAGAGTGCCTGGTGGGTTTGAACCATCAGCCTTCTGGTTAGCAGTCAAATGCCTTAGGCACTATGCCAGTGGAGCTTTGTATGAGTATAGGTAGGTCATTTAACCTCTCTAGGAGCTTTTTCCTATAAAATGTAAATAATAATAGTACCTTACAGGCTATTGTGTTATAATGTGGGTCATACTTAGGAAGTTAGTGTATAGAGTAGCAAGTGTCCAACAAAAAAAACAACTCAAGCCGTACGTTTAATTCTTATTTTTCTAGTAGCCACATTAAAAAAGGGAAAAAGAAACAGGTGAAGTTCATTTTAATAATATGCATTATTTAACTCAATATTTCCCAAAGATATAATGCAATCAATATGAAAAATTATTAGTGAGATATTTGACATTGTGTTTTTCATTCTAAGTCTTTGAAATCTAATGTGTATTTGATACTCACCGCACATCTCAATTTGGACTAGCCACATTTCAAATGCTCAGTAGGGTGGCTACCATATTAGACAGTACAGGTGTAGACCATTTTAAGATCCTTACCAGCTACAAGTGGTGTGAAGCTATCATTATTATTGTCTTATTATCATATCCGTGAATTGTGATGTCCATGTCTCATGTCTCTTGTCTGTCTGAATATATGTGGAACCTGCAAAGAGTAGTCCTGAGGTCCTCATCCCCATTGTCCGCATCCTAGAGAGGTGCCTGGGTAGGTGTCAGTGTCCAGTGGGAGCCCTGGCCCTTGTCCTCATACTCCCCAAACCCACCTCCAGTGCTTTGCCCACTCTGTTCCCCTCTAGGAACCACGCGCACCATCCCTTGCTTTCCCAGCAGGTGGCCAGAATGGAGCTGTGGCCAGGGGCATGGACAGTGCTGCTGCTGCTCTTCCTGCTGCTGCTCTTCCTGCTGCCTACCCTGTGGTTCTGCAACCCTAGTGCCAAGTACTTCTTCAAGATGGCCTTCTACAATGGCTGGATCCTCTTCCTGGCTGTGCTTGCCATCCCTGTGTGTGCCGTGCGAGGACGCAATGTCGAGAACATGAAGTGAGCGGGCAGGGAGAACGGGTGATGAGGAACCCTAAGAGTCAGGAATGAGCAGTGGTTGGGGAGGGCATGGGGCACATCTAGGAAAGGCTAAGAGCCCAGGGACAAGGAATGAGGAGAGGACTGGAAAGATGCCCAGAAAGACAGAGGGGCTGAGGCAGGCCGGGCATCAATGGATCTCACTGCTGTGACCCCACAGGATCTTGCGGCTGATGCTGCTCCACATCAAATACCTGTATGGAATCCGAGTGGAGGTGCGAGGGGCCCACCACTTCCCTCCCTCACAGCCCTATGTCGTCGTTTCCAATCACCAGAGCTCTCTCGACCTACTTGGTAAGACTCGTCCACAGGGCACACCTCATCCAGCCATACCCTTCCTTCCAGAACCTTCCAGAATTCCCTCCCCTGGAAATCCTTGCTTCCCCTCCTCGGGATCTTGCCTCTTTCCTTCCTATGCCTTTCTCTAGAGCAGAACTGCCCTCACATATAGGGCATATATACCTTTACTCTTTCCTCCACTTGGGGCTTCCTGCTCCTTCCCCCCATTTCCTTTATCTTCCATCCCTAGAAATGTGGGTGATGACCTGGGTGAGGTTGCCTGATCCTGTGACACTCTGTCTCCACCCTGATCCTCACACCCATCCTGCTTCTGCCCAAGGGATGATGGAGGTCCTGCCTGGCCGCTGTGTGCCTATTGCCAAGCGTGAGCTGCTGTGGGCTGGCTCTGCTGGCCTTGCTTGCTGGCTGGCAGGAGTCATCTTCATCGACCGGAAGCGCACAGGGGATGCCATCAATGTCATGTCTGAGGTGGCCCAGACCCTGCTTACCCAAGATGTGAGTCACTCTAAGGAAATGGGAGTTTGGAGGCTATGGAATACAACAGTTATAAAGAAACTGATAGGCAGGGCTGAAGGGGCCTCAGAGGTCCCATCATAGCATCATACCTACTTTCTGACCCTTACGTATGTGTGTGTGTTCCTTGACCCTTTCTCTCACCTAGGTGCGGGTCTGGGTTTTTCCTGAGGGAACAAGAAACCACAATGGTTCTATGCTGCCCTTCAAACGTGGCGCCTTCCACCTCGCAGTCCAGGCCCAGGTGATTACTACTTCCCATTCCTGATACTAAGCTCCCCAGCCCCCTACCATCCCATCTTCTCTGATCAAAGGCATACTGTGGGGGTCTTGGAAGGAAGCTGTGATCTGATCCCCTTTTCCTCCTCTACCAGGTTCCCATTGTCCCCATAGTCATGTCCTCCTACCAAGACTTCTACTGCAAGAAGGAGCGCCGCTTCAACTCGGGTGAGGGTGTAGGCAGGGCGGAGAGGGGTGGTGCTTGTACCAGAAAGACTATGGGAGAGAGGCTTGTGGGATGTTCCCATGAGACATGAGGACCAGTCAGTGTGGAATATCAGAGCTGTGAGGGACCCCTGGAATCAGCTAATCTGACCCCACATCAATTGACAAGTTTTCAGCACCCACTGTTCATGAAATGCATTCTGCTGGATGGCTAATAGGAGCTCTGATGGCACAGTGGCTAAGGTGTTCAGCTGCTAACCAAAAGGTCAGCAGTTCAAACTCATCAGCCAGTGCACAGGAGAAGGATAAAGCAATCTGCTTCCATAAAGATTTACAGCCTTGGAAGCCCTGTGGGGCAGTTCTGCTTTGCCCTATAGGGTTGCTGTGAGCTGGAATAATTCGGTGGCGGTGGGTGGGTGGGTAATATTTGGTCCCTCCAAGAGGGGCTGTTATCTAGTGGGAAACACAGGATTTGTGTGTGCCAAGCAATAATGAGTAACAAACCCCAGTAAATGCTAAATCCAGACAATCAGGGCTGGAGGCATGCTGAGGAGGTGTCTTGGAATCTTGAGATCTTGGAAGGCTTTGTGCAGGGTGGCCTTAAAGAACATGTGATTGCTGGCAAGCAGAGGAGTGGTTGTTCAGGGTAGAGGAGAGAACTGAAAGACTGAGGAGGGAGCGATAGGAGAGCTCAGGAGGTGCTAATCCCCACTGGGAGGCCTGTCCTGTGTGGACAGGCCATGACAGTTTCCTTCCCCCCTCCTAGGGAGATGTCAGGTCCGGGTGCTGCCCCCAGTGCCCACAGAAGGGCTGACACCAGACGATGTTCCAGCGCTGGCCGACAGAGTCCGGCACTCCATGCTCACAGTTTTCCAGGAAATCTCCACTGATGGCCGGGGTGGTGGTGACTATCTGAAGAAGCCTGGGGAGGTGGCTGAGGCCCAGCTGTGAGCTCCTGTTCGGCCTACCCTATCTTCTTCCCCTCTCCTACCAACCCAGTGAGCCCTGGAATAGGGCCCAGCCCTCTTCCTTGTTTCCCCTTTCCCCACCTGTTCATCTTTTTGGAATCTTCAGCTTCTGAAGTGAATGTGGATACAGCGCCGCTCTCTGCCCCTTCCCAGCCCCTACCCATGGACTCTCTTGCCTCGGTGCAGTTTCCACTCTGACCCCACCTCCTGCCATCTTGTCTGTGGAACAGTTGCCGCCTCCCATCTCAAGTGGCTCAGCCTACACAAGGGTGGGGAACACTCCATCCTGTCCCCAGCAGACACTCTTCCTTTGTGGTCTTTCCCTCCACTCCACATTGGGCAGTGGGCTCATCCACTCTATGGAACAGTTCCCGTCAACCCCAAATCCATGGATTCAGTGGATTCATTGTTTGTGAGGAGGACTCCTCACCCTGTGGCTGGAAGCTGATACTTCCAACTGCTTCTGGAACAGTCCTCCCAGCCTCATCCTGGGAATACTGCTCAGCACCTCACCCCTGCCCCACGGAGCCTCCTGTCAGTGGGGGCTGGACTCTTGTAACACAGGTCTCATTCCTGCCCAGGGTTACACACACTCCTGGACGCATATGGCCAGTTTGGTCTCCACAGTTTTCTCTCTGCTTCCCCTACCCTCCCCGCTGTGGGACAGTTCTTCAGTGGTCTTGGACCCACCCAACCCCCTGCAGCCTCACTGTGCCATTCTGACCAGACACAGGGGAAGAAGCAGACTTCAGGTGCTGCACTCACTTATGCTCCCCGGGGAGTTGGGGAAGGAACTGAACCCTGGCTGGAGGGAATAGGAGGGCTTTTAATTTATTTCTCTTTCTTTTGAGGCTTTCCCTCTCCGGGCCAGTTTTCATTTCCTTGCTGTGTGGCATTAGCCACTCCCTGCCTCCCACCCCAGACCTGTTCCCATAATCGGGGAGATGGGCTGGGAGCAAAAGGAGAGGGTGGGACATGGTTTTGTGATTGGTTTTTATTAATTACCTGGATAACAGCAAGAAACCGAGAATAAAGAGAGAGAGAGATCTGGGCGCTTTCTGGCTGTGTTTGTTAGGGGTTGAAGAATAAGCAACCTGAATCTGCACCCAGCCGGAAGGAAGATTCAAGGGCCTGAGAAGAGAAGTTGCCTCTCCCCCTCCCCCCCTTTCCTTCCCAGCTTTCCAGTTTCCTTTGCTTCTAGGTGGCCAGCCAACCTTATCTGTAGCTCCACAGCCAGCCAACCCCAGAGGATTAGGGGGTCCAGTTTCTGTATAAATTAGGAGGCAGGGCTGCTGTAGAGGCTCCTTATCAGCTGTTGAGGCCAGGGCCCAGGCTGTTGTCTTCACAGGAGCCTAGTTAATGACAAGGAAATAGAAACATTGGCCACACTGGCCATGGCCTGGGGGGAGCTGCCTCCAGCCTGGGTCACAGGCTGCTGTTGTGGAGAGACTAACACCCAACAATTAACCAGAACCACTGGACTTAACGGGAGTTCTGGTAGCATAGTGCCTAAGGCACTTGACTGCTAACCAGAAGACTGGCGGTTCAAACCCACCAGCCACTCCGCAGAAGGAAGATAGAGCAATCGACTTCCATGGTGATACTACCTCAGAAACCCAAGGAGGGGTGGCTATGAATCGGGGTTGCTATGAGTTGGGTCTGACTGGACGGCACATACCAACCAACCAACTGGACTTATGCCAGACTCCCAAGAAGAGAGGTGGTGAAGTGGGTATTTGAAGGAAAGCATGGGGAGAGAGTGTTGGGGAGGGATTCTGGGAAAAAAGGAAGCAATTGAGGAGGAGTCTCAAAGAGTTAGGGGAGGTAAGTGAGGGGTGGGAGTTCCCTGGAGGGGAGGAAAGGAGCTCTGGTGGTGCAGTGACTAAGGCACTTGACTGCTAACCAGAAGGTTGGTGGTTCAAACCCACCAGCCACTCTGCTGAAGGAAGATTTACTGCTTGGGAACCCAATGGGGGTTGCTATGAGTCAGAATTGACTTGATGGCGGTAGGATTGGGGGTTTTTTGTGTTTTGGTTTTTATTTTTTGGTGAGGCGGAAGAGAGTGCAGGACTCACAGGCGCCCAGCTTCTCTTCCAACAACAGCACCTGGTCGCTGAGAGAGTCGATCCTGTCACTCCGGCCCCATAACTCGGCCACCTGTTCGGGCCGCAGCTCTTCAGGCGGCATGGGAATCACGGCTCTGACCCAGGCCCCGGCCCGACCTGCCCACTGCCAAGGAAGATAAACCTCAGGATGTTGGGGGCTGGGCCCACTGGGCGTCACAGGATTGGCTCTGGGTGTCTGCTCACCTGCTCCAGTTGCTCCAGGCGCCCTCGCAGCTCCCGAATCTCCCGTCTTAGGGTGCGCTCATCATGTTCTGCCTCTCGAACTAAGACAAAGCGCACCCACCGCTCTTGCCCCACTGCCGACCCTGGGCCCTCCCCGTGGCCCTTACCCCCGTCACTCACCCGCCACGCTGAGGATGCTGGCACTGGTTGGGGACTCCTGGGAGCCCTCCGCGCAGGTGCGCCCGTCCGGGCCCAGCACCAGGCCATGGGGGCAGACGCAGGTGAAACTGCCCGCTGTGTTGAGGCAGCGATGTGAGCAGAAATTGACACCTGTCCTGCATTCATCCAAGTCTAGTTACGAAAAAGAGGGCGGTGAGGAGGATAAGACAAAGCTAGATGCCAGCATGGGCAGGGAGGCCCCTCAGCGCTACCGTGGGGGGTGGGTAGGCGATCAGACGAACCCACGTGACAGTGCTTCCCCCCCCAGCCGGGGGCGCACTCGCACTGTCCTGGCCGCACGCAGACGCCACCGTTCTGGCAGGGCTTGATGCAGATGGCTGCGGGGAGAGGAAAGAGAGTGTCAGACCCTGACCTATGATCTCAGCACCACAGGACGGGCCTCCTCCAAGGCCTAAGGAGACCCAGCCTCACCTTCACAGCTGTGCGCCCCGGGGTGCCGCTTCTTCCAGCCCTGGCAACACACAGCGTGGGTCTGTTGCACCTCCCGTTTCACCTCCCTCCACGCCACGCGGTACGTGGTCCTACAACACAGGGGCCCGCTCAGGATACGGAGGCATTTCTAGGTGGGGTTCTTGGGGTTCCTCCTGAGATACCCCAGAGTTCCAGCTCCTCATCCCTCACCTGTAGGTGCTGCAAACACGCCGACCAGTGCACAGGGTCAGGTAGGGCTTATACACCGGTTGGCTGTAGGATTCGTTGTAGCGTAGTGGAACCACCACCGTCTGCTTGGAGCAGACCCCATGACTGCACCCGTGCCAGCAAAGCAGGGAGACACTGAGTGAGCCAGGGCCTGGGAAGCTCCACTTCTCTCAAGCCTCTTCTAAGGCCCTGTCCACCCTCCCCCAGGTGACAGTGCCCCTCACCCCCATTCTGAACTTCCACCCCCAACAGGATGCTTGGTGACTACCTCACCCCCAGCCCCACCCCCTCTCATCACCTCTCCTTGAGGGATCCACCCTTGGCACCTTCGCCTGGCATCAGTAGCAAGAGGAACGAGAGTCCAGTTAATAGTGAGCACAGCTCAGTCCCAGACCCCATGATTCTCCTTGATGTCAGATGCTGTGGGCTGTAGGCAGGACTAGGTTAACAGAGGCTCTTCTTCTCTCATACTAACTTCTCCAGGCTGAGTTCCACCAAGAGCAGTCTCCTGGTGCCCTCTTAAGGAGCTTAGGGAATTCACTTTTACATACTGGCACTAGCTACAACTACATGTACATTAACCACCACCCTCACCCTTCCCTTGGTACAGTATCCATGCAGCACCATCCAGTCAGGCTTACACCCTACATATGCCCTCCACCACCCTCCAACCTAGCCAAGTCTAGCCTCTACATAAACTTGAGGGATATACACCACAGACACCCTTCATCTCTAACCTGCCCTTAACCTTCATACCTCACAACTGCAGACTTATACCATTTTCCCCTTCACTATCCTCTAGACCCCCCTTGCACCTTACACATACAAACCTACCTACCTAGAAACTCCACACCTTACATGTATTTTTACCACCCTCACATTCCACACCATCACATACACCCTGGATATACATCTATATCCTTCATTCCTCGGAATGATACTGCCTCGGAAACCCAAGGAGGGGGTCACTGTGAGTCCTGTCCCACTCGATGGCACATAACAATCCTTCATTCCGATAACACCCCTTCCACTCACACCCACCTTAAGGTCTTGTCTGAGTGACAGGCACTCCCTCCCCATTGGAATTCCCCATGTGCCCTCCTCTCTCCCCATTCCCACCTGGCTTTTCCTCTCTCCCCAGAGACTTCAGGCTGACCAGCCTCAGCAGCAGCAGCTCAGACTAGTGGGCAGGCCAGGAAGGAGGAGGGGTTGGGCCAAACAGAGTCCTCCCACTTCTGCCCCCTCCCACAACCCTCCTCCTTAGCTCCAGCCTGGTCAGCTCAGAGAAGCCCAAATCCCATTCCCCTCATCCCAGCAAAGGGCCCCCTAGAAAATTTCTTCCCCACCCTCGGAGGTACCTTAATTTTGGAAATCACTCCCCCCCCAAAAAAAAAAAAAAAAAAACAGCAGGAACTACTGGCTCTATACCACCACCCATGCCCTTCTCCCCACTCCCACCTTTAACCCAACCCAAATTGGGGGAGAGCTGGGAGGTGCTGAGAGGGAGACAGAGCTGAGAGAATAATGTGGGGTCAGGTCATGGGAGAAGAGGCAAGAACAGCTGAGGAAAGAAATTAGGACAAGACGTCACAAAGGGGCAGCCGGGCAAGTGGGGCAGCCCAAGGCACCAAGGGGAAAAGTGCCCCCATCTCTTGGTGACATTTGTTAGGGGGCACAGGGTTGAGTCAGCCACCAACCCCAATACCAGAGTAGACAGGGCCCTATTGTCTCAGCCAAAATTCCTTTTTTCAGGAAAGAGGAGGCTCATTGTCCAGCCCCTCACCCAGCTCTGGCCTACAAAGGCCAAGAAGGGGTGCAACAAACGCCCACCCTAACCCTCAGCCCCCTCGTCTAGCCTAAGGGTGGCAAGCACATTCCACCCCATGAGGCTGGGACCCAGACCGCTGGAGCCCCTGGCTCAGCCCCCCAATCATAGGGTAGGACAGGAAGAGAATTGTCCTCAGCAGGAAAGAACCCACAGAGAATCAGGAACCCACACAGAATGGGCATTGAGAGAACGGAAACACCAAGGGGGTCCCCACCCCAGACCAGGCATCCGGGCACCCAGGCTTCAGGCTCTCCATTCCCACCCTTTTTGAGAAGCAGGTCCCCCTCACCTGGAAATAAGCCAAGCCACAGTGAGGAAATGGAACTTTATTTCTATAAATACAGGTGAAACACCCCATTCCAGGGTAGCTAAAAGAGGGGCTGGGGCCTCAGAGAAACTGGGCTCCCAGAGGGTACCCTAACACTGAACATAGGGACTGGGGGATCCCAAACCTGAGATGGGCCTTTCAGGCCACAGATATTCCCCAACACTGACATGTCAAGAACGGAACTGTCCCCATAGGGGAACCTCAGAACCCCACTCTCAGGGGCAGTCCTTTCTGGGGGCTGGGAGGGGTAACAACTGGGGCATTCAGAAGAAAAGGGAACATGGGGAAAACAGAAGCTAAAAATGTCCTGAGTGGCCTGGAAGGAGACCCCTGTGGTGGGCAGGGGCTGAGTTCCCCTCCTGTACAGCCAGATACAGGGGAGCAGCAGCAGCAGCAGGAGCAGCCACAGGTTAAAAACCTGTTTCACACCCCCCAACCTCGGCCTTAGGAGAAAGGGAGGGCATGGAGAAGCCCCCTAAATGAGAGGACATGAGGTGGGAGAGACCAGGATTTATCATTCACAGAGGAGTGGGGGTTCTGGGAGCCCTGGTTGTAGGGGGCAGTGTGGGAGCAATGAGGTGGTCACAGACACGCCAGACCCTGACGTCTGCTTTCCAAGGCTGCCGCTGGATTTCTGGGCTGCGAGGTTCCTGGGGGACCCTTGCAGACGTCCTCAGGAGAGCCATGGTTCAATGCAGGCATCATAAAGGGTGCGATTGGAGTGCCAGGCTGTGTGGGGGATGCCAGCCATTGGGCACCTCACTATGGCCCCCCGGGCTACGAGAGTCTTCAGCCCAAAAGAATCCCGCAGATAAACCTTCGAGGTAGGTCATGGAAGAGACACATAAGGAGAGAGACAAAGTGAGTGACTGCCAGGGTGCCAGGCCCCCTCCCCACAGGGTGAATCCTTCAGATCAGGGGTCACTGATAGGGAAGTTTCCAGAATGAGGTGGGACAGTGCACGCTGAGAGTGGACATGATCCCAGGAAGCTCACCGGTTGTTCCTCCATCTCCAAGACGGTCTCATTTGCATCATAGAAACCAAAGAAGCTACAAAAAGATTTGGGGGGGAGGTTATCAGAAGAGTTAGAGGAAATAAAGGTGGCCTAGTCTCCTTCAGGAATTCCTGGCCTGTTGGGGAGATAGGCACCAGAGGTGACACTCAAGATATTTAACAGGCTATCATGTACATCATGACGTGATGCACTGAAAATACATGAGGATCCAACATCACTTAGGCACAATTCCCACTGAAGTGCATAATCTGAGTCTGATCTTGAGGAAACATCTAACAAACCCCATATTAAGGGACGTTCTACAAAAGAGCAATGTCAATATCATAAAAGGGTTGAGGCAAAGGTTGAGGAATTTTTCCGGATTTAAAGAGACTAAAGAAACAATTAAATGTATCACATGATCCTGGATTGTACTTTGCACTGAACTTTTTTACTATAAAGACAACTGGAAAAATCTGAATAAGATCTATAGATTACTCTATAGATTAATGTTTTGATTTTGCTAACTGTATTGTGGATATGTGGAATCCATGGGTAGTGCAAACGGCTAGCACACTTGACTACTAAACTGAAAGGCTACAGGTTTGAGTCCACCCACAGGCGCCTTGGAGAAAAAGCTTGGCAAATAGTCAGTCAATGTGGTGGAACCACTGAGACTATGGCCCCTAGCTGCACTTCAGGTCTGGAATTGAATCCACACCTGTGGCTTCCAGCCAAATAAAAGACAGGCATAAGAGTTGAACATTTACCTGAGGTAGATACACTCCTTGGAGAGAACAATCATGGGAGAAAGAAGGGCTGCTTATGCACAGGGAGACAGTTCAGGGGGCAGGAGTGCATGGAAGGATGGACACTGGGAAGAGGTAACTATGGGGAGGAGTGGGAAGGGAGGTGTTGCATTGGGGTAAACTGTCAACATCATCAGACAATGTGTATGTGAACTGCTGTACGGAAAGTGAATTTGCTCTGTAAACTTTAACCCAAATCACAATGAAAAAAAAAGAAAAGAAAAAAGTCAGCCACTGAAAACCCAATGGAGTACAACTCTTTTTTGCACACATGAGGTTACCATGAGTTAGAATTCACTCAACATCAACTGTTTTTTGTTTTTGTTTTTATTGTGGATATGTCAGGGAAATGTCCTGTTAACAGGAAACATACACTTAAGTACTTATGGGTAAAGGGACATCATGTCTACAACCTACTCTCAAATGGCAGACACAAAGAAAGGGAATGCTAATGTGTCCTATGATTGACAGTAATGGCTCATTTCATAGAGCACCTTTTTTTCTTTTTTTGGTCCCAAGGCACTCTTCTAAGTACTTTTCATACACTAGCTCATTTAATCCTCACAACAACTCTATGGGGTGAAGACTATTATCCCCGTTTGACACATGAGGAGACTGAGGAAGGTGCAGAGAGATTAAATAACTTGCCAAATTCAGAGTTAGTAAGCAATGAAGTCAGGCTGTCTGGCTGTTAACCACAAGGATGTATTCTGTAGACAGATGGGTGGATGATAGGTAGTGTGGTAGTTATGTCTGGGTGTCAACTTGGCTGGGCCTGGTTGAGTGGCTGGGGAGCTGGTGGTAGTTATTCCCCATGATGAGACTGGCAATCAACTCCATGGTGGGATCTACCACAAGCAGCTGAGTAGCTGCCTTTGGGATGTGGACTGATTCCTGTATATAAGGAGAAGCCCTGGTAATGGTCTCTAGCCTATGGCACGCTTGGACCCTGCATGTAGCCGCGTTGTTGCTCAGCAGCCTGCTATGCTCTGCCAACCTTGGGACTTACAATGGACTTAAATTAATGGCCTGCTGTGTGGTTTGGTAACATAAGGACTGTGCCTTTTTATTTGTCAAACTTGGGGCTTCTCAGCCTCAGCAGCTGTCTGAGTGAAGAAACGCCTCTAGCTCCAGTGAGCCAGGAGCAGGCAGAGCTGGACCCCAAGGTCAAGGGGCTTTCACCTAGCCCCTAGAGCCTGGCACTTTGAACTTGGACTTAAAGCCTCCAAATTTTAAGAATAAACTCCTGTTTGTTAAAGGCCATCCCATTTGTGGTATATTGTTGTCAGAGCAGCACTAGGTAACCAGAACAGGTAGGTAGGTAGATAGATAGCACTTTGGAAATTAGGTGAAGAGTATATAAGAATTGTTGGCACTATTTTGGTAACTGAAATATGAACTTACTTTAAAATAAAAAGGTCTAAAAATTTTTAAATTAAGAATATGTAACTGGCATAGGAAATGAGTAGACACTGGCCATGAATAAATGGATAAATGCTAATGGTGGTAAACCCAAGGAACTATGGAAGCAGAGAAGAGAGGCCCCTTACCCTAGCCTTAGACCATCAGCAAAGACTTTCCAGTGATGACCCTGGGAAAGGCTGTCCCAGGCAGAGGGAACAGTGAGAACACAGGCACAGAGGTAAGAACAGCTGGGAATGGGAGGGGGCTAGGTTGGGGGCCTAGAGGCCATGCTGAGGAGCTGGATTTCATAAGGGCTAGGAAATCTACTTCCAAAAATCTGCCAGAGGCACTCTATAGATCACAAAAGGTCTAGGGTCACCATGAATCAGGGCAACTCAGCAGCTAACAAGTAAGCAAAGCAGTAAGGGCACATGGACCTGGATTTGAATCACAGCTCTGCCATACACTCTCCCAAATGTTACTGTTACTCCTCGAATAATTTCTCTTAGAAGGATCAGCATGGGGCTGTTCCTTATGAAGGCAAAGTTAAAGAGGTCCCAAATGTCCAACTTTTCCAAACTGCTGTACCACTCCATCGTCTCTAACATCAACTCCTCCTCTTCCCCTCAGTAATCTCCCTCCTATCTTGTTGTTGTTGTTGTTGTTGTTGTGTCACAGCAACCCCTCCTTGGGTTTCCTACGGAAGTAGATTGCCCAACCTTCCTTCCTAGGAGTGGCTGGTGGGTTTGAACCACCAGCCTTCAGGTTAGCAGTCAAGTGCCTTAGGCACTATGCTATTGGAGCTCCTATCTTAGGGTTCCTTATTTTGCTGTAACACAACCTGCCAAGGAAATGGCTCACACAATGATAGAGGCTGGAAGTCTTGCAAGTCTCAAATCTGTGGGTCAGGTATAGATCTGGAGGATTCTCCTAAACTCAAGTAGTTGTAGTGGCTGACTGACCCAAACCAACAGGTCAAGCCACTGGCTGCTATCTCAAGCCCAAGGGTGGGATGATGAGGAACCAAATGCAGGATCTGGAGCAAGAGAGCAAACTTTGCTGGCACATTCACATATATACCCTCAAGGAAATTAAGGGTGGTGACTTGAGTCACACCCCTCCAGCAAGGCAGGACTCAGGATACATCCCATCCTAAACAGGTATATGTGCACTGCCATCAAGTCGGATCTGACTCACAGTGACCCCTCCTTGGGTTTCCAAGGCAATATCACTATGGAAGTAGGTTGTCCAACCTTCCTTCTGAGGAGTGGCTGCTGGGTTTGAACTGCAAACAGGCATACATAGAGGCTAGGATTTATAATATATCACAAAATAGAGGACTACTGGGAGCTCTGGTGGCATAGTGCCTAAGGAATATGACTACTAACCAGAAGACTGGCGGTTCAAACCCACCAGCCACTCCTTGGAAGGAAGACTGGGCAATCAACTTCTGTAGTGATATTGCCTTGGAAATCCAAGGAGGGGTCACTATGAGTCAGATCCAATTCAAGGGCAGTGAGTTTGGTTTTCTGGTTTTTTATGGCCAGAGGTCTATATTAAGCAATTCACTACCCTAAAGTTACTTATCATCTTGGTTCTATATAAAAATACTTTCCTCATAGAGACAGTAAAACACTGTAAAGAGTCAGCCAGTCTGACTTCACCACTTATTAACTAAAAATTTAAGCAAGTTATTTCTCTCTGTATTTCTCTCTCTTCGTATGTCAATTGGGAATAATAGTAACTACCCTATAAGGTTGTTGTGAGGATTAAATGAGTTAATATATGAAAAGTATTTAGAACAGTGCCTTGGAGAAGGAAAAAAAAAGATGCTATAACATGAACTATTATGATCATTCACAGGGTTGTTATAAATGTGGAATGAAACTCATCCCTTACTATTCTAAGAGAGATCACGCCTTCACTTAAAACCCTCCAGTGGCTTCTCATCTCACTCAGAATAAAAAATCAAGGTCCTTATTTCAGCTACAAAGACTCAACATAACTGTTCTACTACCTCACTTACTTTCTCTCCTACCACTTTCACCTGCTCCCAGTGCTGTATGTAGCCTTACTTCCTTCCTCCTTGCTCCTCATATTTGCCCCAGGGTCTGTGCAGCTGCTAGAACTCCTCCTTGGGTCATTTTCCCCAAAGAGCTGTACAGTTCCCTCACTCACTTCCTTTAGTCTCTGCTCAAATGGCACCTCTTCCAGGTGGACTTCTCTGGCACTATCTAAAATAGGTTCCACCCTGATCGCAGGGGACACCAAGTTCAACTGGCATAACATACTACACAAAAACACTGTTCTACATCCTACTTTGGCGAGCAGCAACTGGGGTCTTAAAAGCTTACAAGAAACCATCTAGATGCAATGACGGGTCTCTCCTTGTCTAGAGCAAAGAAGGATGATTAAAAACCAAAGACGCATGGAAATGATTAGTCCAAGGGAGTAGTAGACCATGAGACCAGAAGAACTAGATGGTACCTGGCTACCACTGTCAACCACTCAGCGGGGGATCAGTGCAGGAGATCCTAGATAGAGCAGGAAAAAAATGTGGAACAAAACTCAAAATTAAAAAAAAAAAAAAAAAAAAAAAAAAAAAAAAAAAAAGACCAGGTTTGCTGGTCTGGTAGAGCCTGATGAGACCCCTGACTCTAGAGCCCCTAGTTACCCTTTCCCTTCAAGTCTGGAACTGAACACATTCCTGTGGCTTCCAGCCAAACAAAAGACAAGCATATGGGGTGAACATTTACATCAGGTAGATATACTCCTTAGAGCAATCAACTGTGGGAGAACAGAAGGGCAGTGTTTGCACAAGGAGACAGCTGGGGAGTGGGGGCAGGAGTGCATGGGAGGGAAGGACACAGGGAAGAGGTAACTACAGGGAGAAAGTGGGAAGAGAGCTGTTACACTGTAGGGAATTGCAGTCAATGTCATGAAACAAAATGTGTATGAACTGCTGTATGGAAAATGAATTTGCTCTGTGAACTTTCACCCAAATCATGAAAATTAAAAAATAAAAATAGGTCCCAGTCATCCTTTAATTCCTTCTTCTGCCTTATTTTATCACCATCTGACATATATACTTACACTAGGAGTGTAAGCTGTATGACAGCAGGGACTTCTGTTTTATTTACAGGGCCTGGATATATAGTAAACCAAAATCAAACCCATTACCATTAAATCAATTCTGATTCATCGTGACTATGTGTGTTACAAAGCAGATGCTCCACAGGGTTTTCTTTTCTTTTTTAATTGTGATTTGGGTGAAAATGTACAGAGCAAACTCATTTTCCATACAGCAGTTCACATACACTGTCTCATGACATTGACCACAATTCACCACATTGCAACAGCTGCCCTCCCACTTCCTCCAGACAGTTTACCTCTCCCTGTGTCCATCCTTCCATGCACCCCTGCCCCCTGAGCTGTCTCCCTGTGCATACACAGCCCTTCTTTCTCCCATGATTGTTCTCTCCAAGGAGTGTATCTACCTCAGGTAAATGTTCAACTCCTATGCCTATCTTTTGCTTGGCTGGAAGCCACAGGTATGGGTTCAATTTCAAACCTGACGGGCAGCTAGGGGCCATAGTCCCAGCGGTTCCACCAAGCTCTATCGGACCAGCAAACCTGGTCCTCCACAGGGTTTTCTTGACTGTAATCTCTACTGAAGCACTTCTGTAGGCCTTTCTTCCACAGTACCCCTGGATGGGTTTGAACTACTGATTTTTAGGTTGGCAGTCTAGTGCAGACCATTTGCACACCCAAAGAGGGCACACAGTAGTGCTCAAAAACTGTTGAGTGATTAAAGTAGATTAAGATGATATTTCAGATCACTTGTGATGATCTGTAACAGAGGCAAGCACATACTTAGTGTCCTGGAGCCATGAATTTTCCTAAGGAATAGAATGGAGAGGACCAGGCTAGAGGCAGGGGGCCAGTTGGAGGTTGTTATAATGGTGGAGATAAGTAAAAGGGGTGGTAAAAAATGCGATAAAATGATGGGAGAACAATGTGAAACAAAACTCAAAATCATTAAAAAAAAAAAAAAAAAAGGACCAGGTTTGCTGGTCTGATAGAGCCTAGTGGAACCCCTGAGACTATGGCCCCTGGCTAACCTTCAGATCTGGAATCGAACCCACTCCTGTGGCTTCCAGCCAAACAAAAGATAGGCATATGAGCTAAACATTTACATTAGGTAGATACACTCCTTGGGAGATCAATCATGAGAGAATAGAAGGGCTGTATATGCACTTGGGGGGCAGGAGTGCATGAGAGGGAAGGACACAGGGAAAAGGTAACTATGGGGAGGAAGCAGGAGGGGAGCTGTTACATTGTGGGAAATTGCACTCAATGTCATGAGACAAAGTGTACGTGAGCTGCTATACAGAAAATGAATTTGCTCTGTAAATGTTCACCCAAATCACAATAAAAATTTAAAATAAAAAATGTGATAAAATGACATGGGACTGAAAACACACATTATACTAATGCCAATTTCCTGGTTTTGATATTGCACTATAGTTACATAAAATGCAATCATGGGGAAAACTGGGTGAAAAGTACATGGGCGCTCTCTGTCCTATCACTGCAACCTCCTGTGAATCTAATTATTTCAAAATAAAGTATCTATAAGGGGGAACAAGAGAGATGGAAAGAAAGCAGAACCACCTAAAGACTAAGACTTAGGAAGCAGGACTTACTAACTTAGCTAGATGCAAGGTCAAGGGATGACTCCCAGGTTTCAGTCTTGGGTGACAGGATGGATAGGAGAGTATTAATTGAATAGTGGGAGAAGCAGACCAGTTTAAACATGAGTTGGAAGTTGCCTCTGAATAGAAACGTACAGCAGACATTTGAGGTAGGTAGGGGACATCCTCAGCCAATCTTAAAACCACACAGCCCCTTATTACCTGGACTGCCAAGGAGTAATAACACCGTCATCAGGGCCTCCAATCAGCACCAGGTGACCCACACGAAGAAAGTTCTTCCGCCATGCTACAGGGTGGGAAGAAGAAAGACTGGGTCAGCCAAAGGGTCAGACCAAGTTGAGAAGGGAGATAGAAGGGGATCAAAGAAGCAGAAAAGGGGACCCAGATGAGGGGTCTGAGGTCTCACCAGTGGCATTGGGATGGTCTCTTTCCCCATTAATCAGGGCAAGAAAGCTGCTGGCATTGAGGTACAAGTCATCATGGTGAGGGTCTGCATACAAAGAGCAGTTAGAAAGATAGAGAAGACTGCAAGAGACCAATCAGGAGGCTGCCATAATAGTCAAGGTGTATACTTATGTAACAGTAGCACTAATAATAGTAGTAAAACTGATAGCAAACACTTTTATCTAGTGCCTACTATATGCCAGGTATACTATATTCATTAATTTCATTAATCTTCACAACCATCCTATGAGATAGGTGCTATATTATTATATTACTGATGAGAAAAACTGACTCACAGAGAGGTAAAGCAACTTGCCTAAATTCATCCAGCAGGGTCAGATCTCAAATGCAAGTAGTCTGGCCCCAGCATCCAGGATCTTAAACACTACATTTAGAGTTAGCATACTATGACCCATGGGACAAATCCGGCCTGCCACTTGTTTAAGGCTGCTTTCACACTACAAGGGCAGAGTTGAGTACTTGTAAAAGAGACTGTGGCCTGCAAAGCCAAACATATTTACTATCTGACCCTTTACAGAAAAGATTTGCTAACCCTTGTACTATATATATATATATGCTCATATGTATATACTCTCTGAGACAATAAGTTAATACACATAAAGCATTTGGAACAGTGCCTGGCACATAGTTAGTGTTCAACAAATACAACTTATCATGACTGTCATTGTTGCTATCGGTTACGGTAGAGGCAGGTGCAGCAAGCCCTGCCTACCATGGCGCCCTCTCCCACAGACACCTCAGTTCAGCACCCCTACTCACCATGCCAGTAGTTGCAGATGGAGAACTCCTGGCCCCAGGGGCTATAGCAGATCCGATAAAGATTTGACCGCATGGAGGTGGGGAACAGCCACTTCAAATAGTCTGTGTCTGTCAAGAGAATAACAGTGCCAAGGACTCCAACCTCTGTGCCCCCCAAACTTGAGGGCCTCTGTGGAGCCCTCAGTGACCACTCACCTCCATACTGTCCCATCTGTGGAGAGGAGAGGGAGATGAAAGAATCCACATTGTGATCATCCATAACAGACAGCAGCGCCCGACACACAAGGCCCCCTGTGGGCAGAATACCACAATGGGCAGGGAATTAGGGACAGCCAGACCAACAGCTCCCACCTTCCCCTCACCATGTCCTTACATAAAGGAAACTGAGGGTCCGAGAAGACAGGCATACACTATGCCAAAAGGTATGTAAGTGGCAGAACCAGAATTAGATTCTAGGCCACCTGACTTTCTAACTCTAGGGTCTTTTCACTGCTCAGTTATCCCTTAAGTCAAAGAAAGGGTATCAAGAGCCCCAAGAAACAGGGAAAGAAGTGTGTAGCAGCTCAAGGAGCCTTCTTCCCATTCAGGACACAAAGATAAGACCTAAGTGTGAGGAAAGTCTGAAAAGAAGGGCTCAAGTGTCAGGGCTCTGGCTAGAAAAGGGTGGTTCAGAAAAAGGAACACTAAGAGGTGTCCTAAAGATGCGGATCAAGCCTCAGATAAGGTTCGGTAGTTAGGGAAGGGGGGAGCTCCTACCTTGTGAGTAACAGATGAGATGTACTCCTTCAGGGGCCTTCGCCATGATGGGAGCAACAGCCTCTCCAAACCCTTGCACCTGTTCCCACAGGGGCCGCAAGCTCTCTCTCCCATCAAAGAGATCAAGCACTGTCACCACAGTCCCGGGGTGTGTCTGTGGGGAGGGGACAATGCAAGCACTGTTGTTGTTGTTGTTATGTGCCATCGAGTCAGCCCTGACTCATAGCGACCCCTCCTTGGGTTTCCGAGGCAGTATCACTACGGAAGTAGGATTGCCCAACCTTCCTTCCGAGGAGTGGCTGGTGGGTTTGAACCGTCAGCCTTCTGGTTAGCAGTCAAGTGCCTTAGCCACTATGCTACCAGAGCTGGAAATGGACTATTAAGACTCTCCCACATGGGCCTCCAGCTAGCATCCCCATGCCTATTCCCTGCTAGAACCAGGGATCCTGTCCCCTAGATGTCCCCACTCCAGCACTAGCTCCCCGAGATTCTGAACAAACGGCTTTCAGTTCCCCCCTCAACCTCCCCAAGTTATTTTACACTCCTCTAACGCCCTCCGCTGGGACGTCCCTTGCCTGACCTGGTTGATGTATTCCAGCAGGTGGCGGAAGCTGTACGAGCTGTCGAAGAGCCCGTGCACCACGATGACCGGTTTGTAGGTGGCACGGTGGGGCGCTGGGGTCGCGGGCAGCAGCAGCAGTGGCAGGAGGGGCAAGAGGAACAGGACCCCCGTCCGGGGAAGACAAATGCCCCGGAGCCCCAGCATGCTCCCGCCTAAAGGGACGATGAAGGCCTGTGAGGGAAATGACAACACCTCTTCTCTTCGGAAGAGACGTCCAGCAATCAAGCCACCCCCATTCCTACCAGGACCGTGTCGCAGTATAACCTACTTTTAACCTACTCTGTTCCTCCTCGCCCTCCTCCTCCCACACACACCCCTACCACGTTGACGCATCAAAGCGCTCCCGAAGCCCCGCCTCCAACTCGGCGCGTGGGGCACTCGGTCCCTAGGCCCAGGGTCTTCCTAATGCATTATGCACGACTCGAGGTTTTGCAAGACCCCTGAGCGGCAGCCCAGGCCCACTGGAGAGTGCAAACTCCCACCTGGCCTGGGTCTGCGGGCCTCGCTTCGCCCGCTGTTTACTTCTCCCTAGTCTGGCACCCAAAGGGGAGGGGAAGGGTGTGAGAAGGGAGCGCGCAAGGTAATGACGGATGGGAGGGGGAAGCCTGCTCGGGGTCGCGCACCGCCGTCACATCCGGGGCCTTCCCTAGCAACCGCGCAAGCGTCCCTAGCAACGCAAATCCTTGGACCGGAGGGGCAATGGAACGTTCTATTGCGCCCAAGGAGCGGGGGAGGAAATAGGTGGAGCGATCCATTTTGGCCAGTAGGGAGAGAAAGCAGCAGCAGCAAGCATGTTTTGGGAATGAAGAGGCGGCTTCTGCAGCCCCAGCTGCACCCAGCGACCCAAAGTTCCGATGTTTCTGCCGTGATTCTCCCCTACTTCACAACTCAGGCATCAGGCTCTGCAGAGGGAAAGCGAAGTTCTTCTCCTAGGGGGCGGAGGAGTGGGTAGGGAGCAAGGATGGACTGGGAAAAGTCTGCATTTTGTCATACGCCGGGAGAGTGGCAGGAAGGCCTGGAGGGCAGAAGCCAGCCCGGGACAATCCCCGTTTCCCACCCAACTGCCCGACAGCCCGGCCGCCCCGGGTCACCATCTTACAACTCTTCATTCTGAAGTGCTTGTAGGGCTCTTGTCTACAGAGACGCAGAGTGTTCTTGAGGCCCCTTGAGCTTAGCTAAGAGGCCCTGTTCCTCTCGCCTTACTCTATCTACTCCCTTCCCCATATACACCCCCCCTCCAGGGGCGGGAGGACCTCTAGGGCGATACTGACTCATGCTCGCGTGGTTTCAACCACTCAGTGAACCTAAGCGACCCTCACAATTAATCTTGGCCTTCAGAAGAAAGCCCTGTGGGCGGCACCCGACCCAGCCCCTCCCACCGAGGCCAGCCTTCCGGTCTCCAAGCGTCCCTGGACACCTGGGCGCCAGGGATAGGGCTTTTTCTTAGCTTTTAAAGACGCTTCCCCAGAGAAAAAGACAAAAGTTTCTAAATACTAAACGTACCTGTCACACTTCCCCCAGCCAACCTTTTTACCAGCTGAGGGCGGGGGCCATCAATGATTTCACAACTTGTCCTAACACCTTCCTCTGTTCACAAGATCTGTGCTTGGTCTAAAGTTGTCTCTCCCAATAAAACCAATTTTCGCCCTAAATTGTACAGAGTGAGGAAGGGATGGGGGTAGGAAGCAAAAGTTCACGTGAACGTCTGAGAAACTAGAATGACCCCTAAGGGACTGTGATTTAAATCTCTGGCCTGGCCTAGAACAAGGCACTTTGAACCCAGACTTATAGCCTCTTAAACTGTTAAGAGAATAAATTCCTGTTGTCAAAGTCATCCACTTGTGTTGTATCTGTAATAGCAGCGCTAGAGAACTGAGACAAACAGCAAGAGAAAACTTGAAATATTAGTGCCTAAAGCACTTGACTGCTAACCAGAAGCCTGGCGGTTCAAACCTACCAGCCACTCCTCGGAAGGAAGGTTGAGCAATCTACTTCCCTAGTGATACCACCTCAGAAACCCAAGGAGGGATCGCTATGAGTCGAGTCCCACTGGACAGCACATAATAACGACATGATGAAAAATAAATCCCTTTCTCAGTAAAATAAATAAATAAATATCCGGCCTGGGATTAGCCCTTCCCAGGGCCTCAGCATAGCTCTGTAGTCTTCTCTTGGATTTTGACCGGGAGAGTTGTATACTCGGAGAGCGACTGCCACCGGCGAAGGCTGGGAAGTACTAATCTAAGTGAGGGTGGAGGGGGCATATAATAATGATTCTCTGGCAGTGTTTTCGCAAAAAGCCCAACTTGTGTAGACCACCCACGCGCTCCCAAGATGCAATAAGCAAATAAAAGACTGCAATAAGCCGCGCCCCTGGCCAACAGAGGAGGTGGCTCCGCGTCTCCGCGGGGGGTGGGGGGGAATGGGAGGCGACCTTAGGCAATAGATCTGTAATACTGACCGACTCTGGGACTCTAAGCAGCCCGGGAAGCAAAGGCGATAAGGGGAGGAAGCGCGCAATACCAAACCGAGCTGCCAGGAATTAACAGTCAATTCACCTATTCTCTCTCCCAAAACGCTTCAGACTTCCTTAGTCCTGGACATAGAAGGTATTTATGCATCTCCTAGCCCCTCCCCCCGCAGGCCCAGACTACAGCCTTCCACTATACTTCCCAATTAACCCCAGGCACGGGTGGCAGGTCAAGGCCAAAACCCTGGGAAATTTTCAGGCCATCGGAGGTCTCAACTCTGCACGCAGTTTTCTCTCACACACAGTTATCTCTGTTAAAGAGGGGGTAGCTCGGGCAAAGGTCTGCGAGGAAATTCTAGGACCTTCCTGGGAGCCCAGAGGGAAGATGAAGAGTGGGTACCTGAGTGAGGGGAGCCAGGTTCAGAGGGAAGTGCTGTATCCAATTCATTGTGCACCTGCCGGTTTCCTCCCACAGTATAATCACCACAGCAGCTCTTGGAGGGGGGAGACTCTAGAGAGTTCTCCCTCTTTCCTTGCCTTAGACCCACCCGCCTCGCTGGGTCTGGCCTCCCTGTTTCCATGACAACTCCAAGGGAGCCCAAACTGGGGGCTTAAAGGCCGGGGTGAGAGGAGGAGAGAGGCAGTCTGAGAGACGGAGTGGGGTGACTTCTGAAGCGCTCCCCCTCCCTCGCCACGGTCCCTTTAAGCTCCCCCCTCCTTGCTCTCTCTCCGCCCCCCGCCGCTGTCTCCATCTCTCCATCTCTGCGCTGCTCGCCGGCTGCGCCATCCGCGCTCCCAGACTCCGCGCCGGTCAGGGACCCCGACTGCCGCTGCAGGGACCCTGTCCCAGAGAAAACAGAGACATGTCATCCGAAAAGTCAGGTAAAAAAAAAAAAAAAAAATCAAAACACCTCCGCTCCCTCCACCGTCTCCCCATTCTCCTCTCCTCCTTGACCTCAGCCCCTTCCCCCACCCCCCACCTCCGACGGCGGTTCCGTGTTTTATCTCCAGCGCGCATTCCCCTAATCCTCCTCCTTTCTCTCCCCCTCCCTTCTCTACCTTTCCTCCTTCCAGTCTCGGCTTCAGTCCCTTGCCAACAACATGGGGAGGGGCAGGTTGAGGGGGTGAGGGGGGCACAAGAGTGGCTTAGCGTCAGCCAGGTACTGCAGGGATAGCATCGTTGCGAGTGACAGATGGGCATTCGCGGGCTCAGATGGAGACATCCAGTGGGGCAAAATGGAGACTTGATCAGATGGGGGTTGGCAGGGAAGTAAAATGCCCAGCACTCTTCTTTATCTGCCTTAACAAGAGGTCCTGAGATTCCCAGGGCGTCTGGGGCACCCTCTTCCCACTGAAGGAACAGCAGAGCAGAACATGCCATCCTACATGTGTTTATACAACTGTTGAACTGAGCTCATGTTAACACTGTGGGGTATGTCTACACATATGCACACGCAGGACTAGCTCAGAGAGGCCAGCCTTCAGTGCCAGGAGGACAGGAGATTGCGTGTGAGAGCTGTGTGCAAGTTGCTGAAGAAGAATGGAGAGAGCACAGAGAGTTGTGACCTCAAAACTAGATAGAAAAAAGAAGAAGGGGGGCCAGATGGCCTAGATATAACCCCTCTCCTTCCCCAAGAATGAGATTGCGTCTCACACGTCTCTCTCTGTCTCTTCCATTTTCTTTCTCCATCTCTGACCATCTGTGTTTTCCCCTACCCCACCTTATCTCATCTCCGTTTTCTCTCTCTCCATGTCTTCTTCCCCGTTCACGAACCCCAGGCCTCCCAGAGTCAGTTCCTCATACTTCTCCTCCTCCGTACAATGCCCCCCAGCCCCCGGCCGAACCCCCTGCCCCGCCCCCGCAGGCCCCCCCCTCCTCGCATCACCACCACCACCACCACTATCATCAGTCCGGCACCGCCACCCTCCCGCGCTTAGGGGCCGGTGGCCTGGCCTCTTCCACGGCCAGCGCTCAGCGCGGTCCCTCGTCCTCCGCCACACTGCCGCGGCCCCCACACCACGCCCCGCCTGGTCCGGCCGCCGGGGCGCCCCCGCCCGGCTGCGCCACCTTGCCCCGCATGCCACCTGACCCTTACCTGCAGGAGACTCGCTTCGAGGGCCCACTGCCCCCGCCCCCGCCCGCCGCCGCCGCTCCGCCCCCGCCGGCGCCCTCGCAGACTAACCAGGCCCCGGGCTTCGTGGTGCCCACTCACGCGGGGGCGGTGGGCACCCTGCCGCTGGGGGGCTACGTGGCCCCGGGCTACCCCCTACAGCTGCAGCCCTGCACTGCCTACGTGCCGGTCTACCCTGTGGGCACGGTGAGTGCTGGGCAGACAGAAGCCTGGGAGGAAGAGGGCACGATGGAGCGGGACCTGAAATTAGGGACTAAGTAGGGGCTACTGGGATAGAGACAGGGCTAGGGGCTCAAGCAATGTTGGGGCTCAAGGCCTAGAGAGAACGGAGCGGATGGTGGGGAGGGACTAGACCCAGGCCTGGGAGTGTGGGTGGTGGAGGAGCATGGGGGCCAGCTGGAGTCATAAGTCTGGGCCTGGGAGGGAGAACAGAGCCTGGAGGTTGGGGAGGGATCCCTACGAAGCATCTGTATTGGGGACACCTAGCCTACGGATGTGTTGGGGTCAGAGGTCAGGGTCTGTGTAGAGGAAACAGCTCGGCTGTTAGAGTAGGTCTGAATAAAGCAAACAGTATGCAGGAAGAGAGAGAAATGGAACCTGGGGTTTAGAGATAAGTGGCCAAGTAGGTGTTTGGAGGGAAACAAGATTGAAGTGGGGAGAGTCTGTAGGAGGAAGGGCCTGGGACTAGGCAGGGGGCTGAAGCTTGGGGGAAATCTAGGCGGGACGTTGTGTGGCCATGCCTTGGGGGAGGGGGTGTGGAGGCAGGAAAGAATAAGGGGGTTAATGAGGCAATGCAAGGAGGAAACCGAGGCGGGATTTATGGGTGTCTTGGAAGGGTCAGGCGATAGGTTCTTTGAGGAGCTCCGGGTAGAAACTTTAAAAAAAAAAAAAAAAATCGCTCTCCCAGCTGCGACTCAGTAGTGGGATGGAGAGGGTCGAGTGACCCCCTACCCCAATCTTCCTTTCACAGCCCTACGCGGGCGGGGCGCCGGGGGGAGCGGGGGTGACCTCCACGCTTCCCCCGCCGCCCCAGGGTCCAGGGTTGGCCCTGCTGGAGCCAAGGCGCCCGCCGCACGACTACATGCCCATCGCGGTCCTGACCACCATCTGCTGCTTCTGGCCTACTGGCATCATCGCCATCTTCAAGGCAGTCCAGGTGTGTGTGTGGGAGGGGGCAGGGGATGGCGTACGGGGTGGGCTCACTCGGTGTTTCGTACTCCCTGGGAGTGCTGCTGGACCTTCTGGGGAGCGTCTTAGTGGGAAGCTGGTGCTTGGTGGTGTGGCAGGGTAGCAGCCCTCGACCCGCTTCCCCGTTCTCGGCAGGTGCGCACGGCGTTGGCCCGCGGAGACATGGTGTCGGCCGAGATCGCCTCACGCGAGGCCCGGAACTTCTCCTTCATCTCCCTGGCGGTGGGCATCGCAGCCATGGTGCTCTGTACCATCCTCACCGTGGTCATCATCATCGCCGCGCAGCACCACGAGAACTACTGGGATCCCTAGGGACGCCTCCTACCCCGCCCCACCCTGCGCCCCTCGACCTCCCAAGGGCGTTCTACAGTCACGTCGCGGACCCACTGGGCAACCTGCACACCCGCCTCTGGAGTC